AGCAGTTGCTTCTCATCTCTTCCCAAGGCTCCTATGCCTAGGTAGTGACAACTCTGCTTTCTGCCTCTTCATTTGCTTTATAAAGCAGGGGAGAGATAAATAGATTTATGTTTTGAACGATCTCCCCATGACCTGGTGAAGGATGTATTGGATTGGATGTGACTAGAAGTTGGGAGATCAGTTACAAGACTTGTGACTGGGTAAAAGATGAGAACTTAAATAGATGCACAGGCAGTGGGGATGGAGAGAAGAAGGTGATGGAAAAAGAATTAAAAAGATAAATTCAAGTTCTCAGGTTCTTGTTTAAGAGGCTGGCTAGTAGTGCTATTAATCTGGAAGAGGAAACAGGAATAATCACACATTGGTGGGTAGAAACTGAGTTCTGTGTTGGGACATGTTGAATTTTATGTGTTTAATGCTTTCTGATGGAGAAAGATGGCATTCAGGTGTGGTATTGGGATTGAAGATAAAGATTTATACATCATAAGACATGACTGAAGTCAGGAACAGATGGGACTAGGAAGTGTAGCATGAGAAGAGGGCTAAAATGGAATACTGGGGAATTTCCACATGTGAGGAGCAGGCATAAGAACAGGCTTTACAGAGGAGTTCGGTGGATCAAAATCATGGAGGTGAAATCACAGAAATCAAGAAATAAATTGTTTCAAACAAAAAGGAGAAATGAAACTGGAAAATTCTAGCACTCCCGAGGCTGAGGCAGGAGGATTGGGAATTTAAGGACAATCTGGGCTACATAGCAAGACCCTATTTAAAAAAAAAAAATCAAAAACAAGTGAAAATCACCCCAAACAAATAAACAAGATATTTAAGATCCAAACTATAGCATATGCCAACTTATATTATTTCCTTCCAGGATTTTCAGCTACTTTTACAGTTTAGCATCAATTCATTTTTTAAATTAAAAGAATAAAATTAACATGAATTCATGCTTTAAAAAAGTCAAATAATACAAAAATACAAAAAATACATAGCGTAGAAAGTTAAAGCCTGTCCTGCCCCAATCCATTCTTTTCTCCATAATTAAACACTGTCAACAATTTATGTATTTTATAGACCATTTCCAGAATGATAGACATCTATATGAATGACACACTAATTATATAGTTCTGTTACTATTCCCTTGACACTATACCTTACTATATGCTACATGTACATTGTATTTGTAATTGAGTGCCCACAGACATTAAGACATTAGTGTGAAAGTTTGGGTTCTAGTTCTAATCTTGATTTTGCCACTGTGTGCCCAATTTTCCCAATTCATAAAGTGGATGAGAATAATAATACCTATACTTCACAGGGTTATTATTAAAAAACTTGTGAAATTACCAAAGAAAAATGCATGTAAAGCACCTAGAAGGACCTAATAGTGTAATGGCCATTTAATGGCATCTCCTCTATATAATTATTCGTTTATGCTGAAGAATCATGTAAGCTAGTATCAAAATGTGAATATTTCTAAATTGGGATTCTATTGGAATACACTACTGTAAGCATTCAAACACATCTATTTTTCACTTCTATTGAATTATTACTTTTTTTGTGGGATTGAAGTTTTAGCTTAGGGCTTTGCACTTGCAAAGCAGGTGCTCTACCATTTGATTCACACCCCCAGTCTATTTGCTATGGTTATTTTGGAGATGGGTTTCTCAAGAAATATTTACCCAGGCTGGCCTTGAACCAAGATCCTCCCAATTTTAGCTTCCCGAGCATATAGGTGAGCCACCAGCCCCCAACATGGAATCATTTTCTTAGGATAAAATGTCTCTCAAAGGCTATGTACATATGTATGGCATTTTCTCACCAAAAGGATTATACCAGTTTCCAATACCACTACTAAGGATTTATTCAAACCTTGCTGGCAGAATTTAGAAAAATTTTGTTACTTCATTGGTCATAAAATGGGTATATCAAGTCTATTTGAATTTGTAATCTTATTGCGCCCTGTGAACACACTTACTCAAATGCTTGTTTATTACTTGCCTTTTTTTTTCATTTATTCTATAGGTACTGTATTTGTTGAACATCAAGGAACTGAGAATCTAGCAGTAAATAAAACAAATGGTTATGGAAATGGTGTGTGTATAGTTTTATTAGAAGTATAGTCTCTTAGGTACTACATTAGCCAGAGATTTTCAAACTAGCAAACCTTGGGAGTATTTGTCTGATTTTTTTTGGGGAGGGGCTGTGCTGGGGCTTGAATTCAGGGTCTACACCTTGAGCCACTCCACCAGCCACTTTTTTTTCCAAATTTTTTTTTGAGGTAGGGTCTCGTGGAACTATTTACCCTAGCTAGCTTTGAACCACGATCCTCTTGATCTCTGTCTCCTGAGTAGCTAGGATTATAGGCATGAACTATCTGAATGTTTTTGATACTGTGGCTTGAACTCAGGACCTTGCTTGCTAGGCAGGCACTCTACCACTTGAGTCACATGCTCAGCCTTAACCTTGGGAGTATTTGGTCTTTCATTGGAGGAGGATGAGAAGAAGAAGGTGCAGCTATGCCAATGGTGCATCTTCCTGGGGAAGCAATTTACTTAAAGTAAGAAAAGGAATTAATAATTTTTTTTTTTGCGGGGTAGTGCTAGGGATGTAACCTAGACCCTGTTGCATGCTAAGTGGTGCTCTACCACTGAGTTACATCCCCCAGTCCTAGTAAAGCATTTAAAAATTATTTTCATAATAAAATGTGACTCTATCATGGAGTAGAAAGGAAACTTTACATGAATTTTCAGGGTCTCTCTCTTAGAGTTTCATTACATGGCCCAGAATGACCTCAAACTCTGGATCCTCTTGCCTTAGTCTCCCAAGTGCTGGGATTACAGGTATGCATCCCCACACCTGACTTTTATGTGAGTTTTTATAAATAGTTTAAAAAAATTCTAAAACTTGCTCTTAACACCTCTTTCCCTTTGGTAGTCAGTCTCCTTTACCTTGAGGGTAATTTCACTGGAAAACCTTGAATGATTAGACTAAACCGTTTTCAGGTAGTTGAGGAGTAAGGAAGAATGTCCCTTTATTTGTATTTACAGTTTTTGAAGATTATAAGTGAAGCCGTGGTAAACGTTTTCCAAATGCACGAACCACTTGCACTCCCATAAGCAAAAAAAAAAAAAAAAAAAGTTATAATTAGCCTTTTTTTTCTTACTCTAATAGACATGTTTTAGTCACTGTAGTTTAATTTGCATTTTTCTATTGGTTTAATGAGTTGGGCATATTTTCATGTTATTGTCACTTTTATCACTTTTATATCTTCGTGAATGAAGTATCTGTTCAGATTTTTTACCAATTTTTGCTTTTTTCCTCATGACTTTTTTTTAGTGGCACTGGGGTTTGAACTCATGGCCTCATGGTTCCTAGGCAAGCACTCTACCACTTGAGCCACTCCACCGGCTATAACAGACTTTTGATTGCTTTTTATAAATTCTGAATAAAACCTCTAAATATGTTCTGCTTTAAAGAAACACCCCAAATCTTACTTTATGATACATTTGATTATGTGTATTCAAATTACTGAACCACTTTAATTCCAAACTGTCTTGAGTTTTATAACTGATTTAAATGATTTTACATTACATTTCTCATATAGAGCAATTGTTTTCTATTATGTAAAACGAGTGGGATTTATTTTACTGTGAAAATCTAGAACATCTACTACATTCAAGTTTTAAAAAGATATTTTATGTAAAATTGACTACAGTAAATAGACATAGCATAAACTCTGCTTCCTGCTAGAATAAAAGTGGAGTAATGTATTACCCAAGAGTAAGAAAACATATTTGGAATCTAATAAAATTTGGAGGCTAATTTCTAAATTATGGGCTTTTAAAAAAAGTGAACCGGCAACCCAGTAAGGAATGATTTAAAAGTAAAGCGATTTATCTTGAGAAAAGGTAACTATAAAAAAGCAAGTGTGTCTGACAGTATCGTATGCCAGCTCCTCTTAATTCATATTTGCACCTGCATCTCTGATTTGCAAAAGACGATGCGTAAAATTTCAAAATAGCAAAAGGTCAGTTTGTTACAATAGTAACGTGGTTCAGTGCTCTCTGCAGCAGAGCATGTTGCCTTGCAAATGTGCATCCTTAAACAGTGGCTAATGGTTTCTGTAGTTAATCTACTCTAACTGTGCAATTCCTAGTTATTGGTCTTGGAACCTCTAAAAGCTGCAACTGCTAGACGCTCCTGGGGTGCATCCGGTCTCTCCGGCCTCGTGTCTCTCTTGCGGAAGGTCACCTCCTGCTGTGGACTAGGGCCCTGGGCCATCCGCGCGAACTCCCGGTCCCCCTGCCTTCCTGCGCAGCTCGGCAGGTTCCAGCTCCTCCAAGACCAGCCGCGGTCACCACCTATCTCCGCCCAAAATGTTTGTCACACTTCTGCTCAGTCTTGAGTAAAATAGGTGATATCGTCACAGTCTCCGCCACCTTCGTCGCTATGTCTGGGTAAAAATAGCACACAAGTTTGCTTAAAAAAATAACGGCTGCGCAAATTTTATGGTTAGATTTATTTCAGGTCCGCAGACTGCGTACTCAGGGAGCGAGGATCTGCGGCCAAAAGAGACCACACAATCGTCTCCCCCCGTCAAGACCCGGGGTAGCCCACACCCCAGAGGCACCGTCCACGGACCCCGGGAAGTTTGGGGCGGCGGGATCAGTCCTGCCCCGCTTCCGGCCCACCCCTTGGCGAGGGCAGGAACTCGCTTTCCCGGCAGCCCCCGCGCCGGCCCCCCTCGCGGTGCGGCTCTCGGCGCGTTCCGGGTCCTGTCACAGCTCGGCCCGCGAGCCCCGCCTCGGTGCTTCCCCGACTCCCCGAGTTCCAGTCCCGGCTTCCAGATCCTCAGCCCCGCCCTCCGCCGCGCGCGCGCTCCGCACCCCGCCCTCGGCCCCCCGCGCGCAGCCGTCACAGCCAATGAGGTTCCGGGCCGCGTGCGCAGATTCAAACGGCGGCTCTTGAGGGAGGCTGGGCGCGAGATTCGGCGGTGCGGACAAAACCCTGCAGGAGGCTGCGAGCGCTGCAGAGCTGCTCACTACGGGGAGAGGGCGGGGGTCGGCACCCGCAGCGCGGCCGGGACCGCAGCGAGGAGGCGGGGAGGCGGCGGGAGGGGCCGGCGGAGGGCGGGAGCGCGCCTCCTGACATGACGGGGGCATCCCTGACCGGGCCGGGCCGGGGCTAGGAGCGGCGCCCAGGCTGGGGGCGGGTCGCGGTCCGCCCCTCCGTCCGTCCGTCCTGTCCTGCCGGGGGCTTGTGTTCCGCACTCGGCCGCCTCGGGAAAGGAGCGAGGCAAGCGGCGGGAGGGTCGGGGAGAAGGAGCATTCGCCTGAGGCTGGAGGAGGCTGACCTGCGTCCCCGCCCAGCCCGCGCCTATGCGGTACTTGAAGGATGGCGAAGAGGTCGCGCAGGTGGGTGACATCCCTCCCTCCGCCCAGGCCTGTCGGCGCTGTCTGGGCTCCGATCCCCAGCTTTCCTTTCTTTTGCTCAGCCCCCTCACGGGGCCCTCCCCGGCCCGCTGTCCCCCAAGTCCTCTCGGTCCCCTGGGCGCAGCCGCGACGGGGACCCGAGCTTTTGAGACGCAAGGTGACCTGCTGGGGTTTAGTGTGGACTCCCCACTGCGCACACCCGGCCCGGCCCTCCTCTCCCAGCCTCTCTTTGGAGGGAGGGGAACGTATCCTGCCCAGGTGACTTCAAAACGGGGTTCCCTCCCCACGATTGCTGTGCCGATCAAGCGACAAGCTTCGGGACCAACCCAGGTGGGCACCTCTCCGCCAGCTTTGCTACCTCGAAAGGTTACGGAATGAAGAGTAACTGGGGAGAGGACCTGTCTGACCTTCTGTGCCGCCAGCTCTGTGTACACATGAGTATCTTGTGCGCCAAGATGCCACACTGTTGCTACCGGTAGCTTGATCTTAAAACAATGTATTTTATTCACTGAGTATTGTGAATGTGGCCAGTGTGGCCCCTGACTGTACCTTGGGTTGCAGAGGAAGGGCACATTTTTTGGCGAAAATGTGCGAGGGTGAATTTACACTTATTTTTTACATTTTCCTAAATTGTGTGAAGCAATCACTTGGATGACAAAAATGTACCGTGTTTTTTTTTTTTTTTTAATTTTCAGTATTAGTAAATAAACCTGAAAAAGTGTTGGACAGAATTTCCAAATGTTTTTATTTATCTGGATTCACAGCTTTAAAGTATTATCTAGAGCTCTGTTTTCTAAGTTGAAATTTACTACTGGGAGTCGTTTACTACTGGAGTCATTCATTGCAGATTTTGGTTAAAAATTGGCAACGACTACCTGTAATATTCTTTGCTTTATTCGTTTATTAACCATTTGCAGAAATGAGCATAAAACATAAGTACCTTATTTTGTAGCAACTATAGTATAAGACAAACCCTGGAGGTGGAACAAATGTGTACACACATAGACACACCTCCTCTAGTGCAGAGTTTTCAACCTTGGCACTATTGACATTTTGGATCAGATAATTCTTTGTAGTGAAGGAATGTTTAGCAGCACCCCTGGTCTCTACTCAGTGGAAGGTAGTAACACCCCACTTTCCACAGTCATGGCAATGAAAAATGTCTCCAGACATTGCCACATGTCTTTTGGGAGAGGCTGGCAAAAATCACACAGGTGAGAACTGCTAGTCTTGAAATTCAAGGACCCAATTAACCTCTCCATCTTCAGAAAATATAAAAATTAGAAGCTTCTGTGGTAATGCTTGCTGAAGTATTGCTTTAGGTCTTTTGCATTCTTAAGTGTAAACTTTAAAAAGTTTATTATGCAGTGACAAATGAATATGTCAAGGTAATAACAGAATTTTGTTTAAGGTGTGAAATTATCTACTTATTATTGTCAATCTCATTTAAAACAGTTTCTTACCTAATTATGTCTTCAGCATTTGATTAAAGTATGGTTAGACACTGATGACTGAATGTCAGAACTCTTTCCTCCACAAGTGGTTTTCTATCATTTCATAATTGTCTGTTTCTTAGTAGTAGACTAAGAGAGGAGTAATGATTTAACAGTTTGTATGAATTATTTTCTTTCATTGGCAATACTGTGACCTTGTGATCTAAACATTAATTGCACTGTTGACTTTTGCTTATTGTCAGCTTAGTGTAAGCACTGAAAGATATTACAGAATACTTTAGAGTCTTAAGTCTATAATTATTTGGAGTGAAGGTAGATTTCCTCTGGGAGTATAGGGTAGAAGATGTGGTGAGAAATTATCTCTGACTAATGTATTTGGTCTTCATACTTGACTGAGTTTCATGCTCTAAATTGCATTACTTTTATATGTAAATGTGACTTATGTGTTTTAGAAGATGATAGAATGAAAAAACAATTTTTTTTTTTGTGGTACTAGGGTTTGAACTCTGGGCCTGGTGCTTACTAGGCAGGTGCTCTGTCACTTGAATCATCCCATCAGCCCAGAATGAAATGTTTTGAAGGAGAAGAAATCTATTCAGTGGACAAAGTCAACTTTTGCTTTTTGGCTAAGAATCTTAATTTATATGAACCCAATTTACAGTAGTAAGAGGAAATAATTCAGTCATTTCTGGTTGTACTTTGAGATCTTCAGTGTACAACCACTTAAGATTTGAATGAAAACTATGCTGTATAAAAGTTTCATATAAGAGTTTAGGCATAAATCCCATAATAGACTCTTTTTGTGTTATCTGAAAGAAACACCTAAGAGTAGAAAACAGTTACTTCAAGTATGAAACAACTGAAGGATGTTGGCTCTTTTAATCTTTATTTTATAGCTGTAGAATTTCTCATAAGGATTTACATTTTCCTCAAGTTGAGGAAAAGGCCAGTTAGTATTACAACTTAAAATAGTTTTAAATCCTACTGGGGGGTTTCAGTGACATAATTTTCAGGCAGTTCTAAAATTGTTATTAACATGTATTTGATTTTTAAGCATACTTATGTTTATGTATGTAATTTAGTTTTTAAAAATCAGTTCTACCTTCAAAAATAAACTTTAAAAAATCCTTTAGAAGCTGCAAAGCCTATTTACTAGTAACAGATTAATGTATTTACACTTGAGATGAGCAATGACTACACTAAGCTGACAAGATAAAAGTCATTTTTTTTAGTGGTGCTGTGTGTGTGTGTGTTTAGCAAAGTGGGTGGAGGTGAAAGTATACCAAAATGCGAGGAAGGATTTCTTAGCTTTGTCATTAACTGGCAATATTGCTTTAGGAAAGCAGATAAATCTGCTTCTGTTTTTAACTACTAATATAAGTGGTTTGAATTTTGTAGTCTGTAAGGTAGTTTCTTGCTTTAATATATATCCTATATTGAGGACCTTTGTGCCTTTTCTCATTTAAAAACATTCATACTCTAAAAGAAATCAAATAGAAATATTCTCACGTTGTTTTATCTATGGATATCTCAGTAAAACTCCCTTCAGCATTTATTTTAGTATTGCTGCTAATAATGATCAAAGATTATGTGAAGTTAAATTTGTCTAATATATTAATTCTAGTTTATTAGTTTGGATTTGGAACTCAATATTCATATATGCAGTACATCATATTAACCACTAGGCGGCCTGATTTCACTTTATTAAATCAACCTCCTAAGTGTGCATACCTTGAATGCAATTGGACTTAAAAAAATTAAATACAGTTGCCCTATCCTCAAAAAGTATTAAAAAAGACATATATTTTATTGTAATAAAGATCTCAAACTTCAGGCAGTTTTTGTTTTTAAATGTGATCAAGTTGAAGCAATTTTACTAGAACAAATTCTATACAACTACTCATATTTCCCTAAATTCAAACCAGTAGTTCCCTTTTCAATAAAAATAAATTTTAAATAATTTTCAAATTCTCTCTTTGGCTACCTCTTTTTTACTGTTTTTAGATGGTTTAATTGTTATCCTATAAAATGAACTTCTCTGAAATGTTTTAATATCAAGTGTGGATAGTTTATGCTTTATTTCATAGGTAAAGTTATGACTATCATATCATGTTAACTTATAACCCAATGAAAAGTTACTCTTAGCTATTTTCCTGACTTAACAAGTTGTAGGGTTTTTTTGTGCCTCCTTTTACTGTTTCATAATGACCCCCAATCACTTTATTCATTCGTAATTTATAAAACTTTCCATTTGAATACAGTAGTTTGGTTATATGGTAGGCATTTATAGAATAAATATTCTCTTTGTCTTAAAATAGAAAACTGACAGTAATTCTGGAATCAAGTTATGAACTGAAGAGTCAGAGACTAAGTTCCTAAAAAAAATAAAGATCAAATTCCTCTCCTATTTTTTCCCTGTAATCGGAGAAATAATATTGCCTTCTTTTGCTGTCTTCTAGATTAATCACACTAGACTAGAAGTGGTTCATTTATTTTTGTAACAGGAAGCTCAATTTTATTTAATTATTACATATTACTAGCAATGGTTACTACAATACAAAAAAAAGCCAAAAGATGGTATTAAAAGTAGAAAAATAGAGCAGATATGTCTTGATAGTTTCTAAACATTATTAATCAATGAATGAGTCTTTTTCTTTGCTAAATGGTGAAAGTGAAATTCTGGTGAGATTACTTGTGAGACTTTATCCCTTCCATTTTTCTTGGCAAATTATAGGCTTTCTCAGGCATCTTCCTATAGGAGCTAGTGATACTGATAACATTTCTAGGATCTTTTTCTGTCACACTTACTTGAAAAATATATCATCCTTTCAACAATCACTTAACTGTATTGAAATTGCTTGGGGCTAGAGGCATAGCTCAGTGGTATAGTGCTTGCCTAGTATGGGGCAAAGCCCTGGGTTCAATCCCTAGCTCCACAAAAAGAAAGAAAGAACTTGATGACAAAATTAAGAATTAGACTCTATGAAAGTCCCAGTGGTAGACAGATGATTCTAAGAATTCTACTTTAATGCTCCCTCACTCTCACCCACTCAGAAAACCTTGCTTCCTGAACACCGAATGGGCTATCTAATGCATAGTCTGAAACTGATGACCATGTTGAATGCAAAACAGAATAAAGCCTCATGTAGAAATAGAAATTTTCCACATAAAGTATGTGGTAAAAAATAATAAGGAGCAGCATTTAAAGGTTAAAATGAGCACGTTTTTAGGAAAAATTATCCTTGGTAAGTAGTCTTTTGGACAAAGTAACGTTTTTATACTCATATCCTTAAAATAATTTTGAAAACAACCTTAAGGTGGATTTTGTGCAGATTAGATGCGATGTGGGTATTTTTGTGAATACTCAAGACTTACATAGGCAAATTCCCAAGATAAAATTTGTTTTAGCTTAGAATAACCTATTTTTAAAATAGCAGTCTCAAATATGCTGTAGGGAAGCTGTTGGGATTGGAGGGGAGGGACAAAGAGGAGAACTTGTAAAAAGCATGCCTAAGGGTCATTTGGGGTGTCAGGAAGTGATAATGTTGCTGGTGGTTTCTAGGAAAGGTTAGGCCAACTAGTAGATACCCTCAAAGAATTCCTTCTGTACTGAATTGTTAAAAAAAAAATTGTTTTGCAGATTCTGCTTTTTAAAATTCTACCACTTGGAGGTGCGTTTGGATTCTGAAAATTCTTTTTAACAAGTAGGAATGCCTTTCACCTCCTCCCAGTGATAATTTCCCTGGTTTTTGAGAAAGTTTTCTCATATCCACTTTGAGATTGCACCTGTGTTGAGGAAGGTGCAAGTTTTGGTTGAGTTGGAAGGGAATGAGATAATTTTGGAATATAGAGTACTTGGGGAGGTGAAAGCATGAGAATGATTGACCACTGATCTTCCAAATATTTGAATGGAAGGGAGGTTCTTGGTGGTGAAAATGGCAGACATGTTCTTTGTACTCCTGAACTTAGTGTTTAGTTGGGGAGGTCAGCAAATGTGCTAGGCATTAAGACAAGAAAGAGGGCCAGGGGTGTGGCTCAAATGGTGGAGCACCTGCTGAGCAAGCACCAGGCCCTGAGTTCAAACCCAGTATCACCAAAAAAAAAAAAAAAAAAAAAAAAAAAAATCCAAAGGCAAAGTAGATGCTCTGAGAAAACTGCAGTATGGCACTTTATCAAAGTTAGTAGAAATTATGAAGTGATTGGACCTTGAATCATCTCCAACTTGGCAGTCTATTCTTGGCCAATCAGATATTTCTGATAGCTGAAAATGGCTGCCAATAACAGGTATTTTCTTTAATTAAGTCTGTGTTTTTGTTTTTGGCATGGCTTCACAAAAAAATCAAGGACCAGAAGATTATTGTTACAAATAGACATTGGCTTTAGGGAAAGAAAATAAATTTCTTTACCTGAAAAGAAAGTAATTTTCCCTGAAAAGAAAATTTAATTGGGAAATTAAAGTGTATTGAAGTATAGAAGTAGATAAACATCATAGATAGGAATCTTGATGTTTTGTCTGTTCAGATATGAAGAGTTTTGTCCCACAGAATTGACAAGTCAGAGGAAAACAGAGGTTCCTGTAAAGGATCTGTAAATAATATGAAATCTAGGGCTTCATTTTTTAATATTGTAAGATTGGATTTATATAACATATTTAGATATTAGGAAACAGTCACATGTTCTTTGGGTTTGAACTCAGGGCTGCCTGTGCTTGCTAGGCAGGTGCTCTAGTACTTGAGCTGCTACCAGTCCCTCCCTCCCTCCCTTCTTTTTTTTTTTTTTTTTTGCTTTAGTTATTTTTTAATGTGGCCTTGCTTTTATGCCTGGGTTCCAATCCTCCTGTTTGTGCTTTCTAAATATCTGGGATGACAGGTGTGAACACCACGCCCAGCTTTTATTGGTTGAGATGGGGTCTCACTCCTGATCTCCATCTCCCCAGTAGCTAGGATTACAGGTGTGAACCATTGTGCCCAGCTTGTTCTTAACTGTATTAACAATAAATAAAGTTAGACATATCTTCAAACTTGCTGTTTGAAATCAGAATGAAAAGTTATGAAAAAGTTGAATATAGTAAGGCAAAATAATTTTGAATACTGTTAGGTGATCAGACTGTACACATGATACTGTGTCACTTTTTTGTGCCAAGTGTAGTATGAGGTTTTTTCACTTAATTTTATACTTAAAGCCATGTTATATTCACTTTGCAAAAACAAAACAAAACAAAAACAAAGTAAAGTCCTGAGAGACGAATATGTTTAAGTTAGAAAGTGAGTAAAGTTAGAACTAGAACCTTGTTCTGATTTCAAATTGCACTAGACATTTGTCTTTGGTATGTTCCAGTTTCTTATACTCTTTCCCTATTTTTTCAATGTGTTGTAGTGAAGTGGTAAAGTAGTAGACATTAGACTTCAGCCTTGCCATATTTGGTGCAACCGTTGGCAAGAAATTACTTGTCTTAAGTTAAAGTTTTCTATCCTGTGAAACGACAGTAATATTCCCTTCTTATGGTTGTAAAGTGTTAAGAAATTTCGTAGACTAATGTCTGGTACTTAGAAAGCTTTAAATAAATTATTTTCAGATGCTCATGACTTATCCAGCTTCTAGATACTCAAAATACTCAAATTCAGTTTATCATGGAGGCCTGCCTATTTTAGGGCCTCATTCTTTAAAATTGCCCTTTCCTTTTTTATACCATATATAAGCTCAGGTTCTGACTTTGGCCCCTTCCTCACTATGTGAATTTTTCTTGGGTTATCTCCTGGTCTCAACTCTTTTTTGTATACTGGGGATTGCCAAAACTGTGTCTCTATCTTGGATCTTGTACCTGAGCAGAAGATCCATGTGCCCCATTCCCTACCTATCTGCTTTGCTGATAGGATAGCTACTAGCCACATGTGGCTATCTTGAAATGTGACTAGTCTGAATTGTGATATATTGTAATTACAAAATTCAATTAGATTTTGAAGACATTAGTAGGCAAAACACAAATTTCATAATTTTTGTATTCATATGTTGAAATGATTGTGTTTTTGATGTAGGTGTTAGATAATATTGATTAAAAAGTAATTTGAGTGGTTTCTCTTTTTTAAAAATGTGGCTTGCTGGCAGCATGGCTTTAGAGGTAGAGTGCCTACCTAGCAAGTGTGAAACCCTGAGTTCAAATCCCATTACTGCCAAAATAAAATGTGACTACTAGAAAATTATATATGTGGCTTGCATTATATTTCTTTTGGACAGTTCTGTTCTTGACATAGTCTCATTTCCTCCTTTTTCCATGTCCTTCAGATTCATCAGATGCAAAATTGTTTTCTTTCTACTTTTAAAAATTATTTTTCAGGCCAATCATTAGTGTCTCACACCTTTAAACCTAGTTTATTGAGAGGCTGAGATCAGGAGATTGTAGATTGAGGCCAGCCCAGGAAATGGTTCGAGAGACCCCATCTCCAAAATAACCAGAGCAAAATGGGCTGGAGATGTGGTTCAATCCATAGAGCAACTGCTTTGCAAGCATGAAGCTCTGACTTCAAACCTCAGTCCCACCAAAAAAAAAAAAAAAATTCAGTTTTATGTACTTTCCATTTTCTATTTTTACCTTGGTTAGTCTACTTTATTATGTGCTCTGCATTTTTGTCACACTGACCTCTCTTCTACTAAATGACATAAAAAGGTAAAATTCTTTCCTTCCTTCTTACAGTACTGTTACGGCTTCATTTTTAAAAATGTAAAAATCTGTTTCATCTGAATTAATTTTTGTAAGGTAGAGCTCTAGTTTTTGAAAATGGCTTCCAGTAACACCCTTCACTGAAAAGTCCATCTTTAGCCCACTGATTTGAAATGTTACTGTTATAATTCGCTACATTCCACGTGGGTTTTTTTTCCCCTCAGTGTTCTACTCTGTTCAATTTTGTATGTGACTGTTTATATGCCAGAACCATTTTGTATTGTATTTTTTTCTAAAGTATATTTTGATAATTAGGTAATGTTAATTCTATTATTATTTTTTAGAACTTTTCTGGCTACCTGACTACTATTACTTCTTTATTCTTTCTGTGTGAGTGATATAATTAGCTTGTCTAATTTCTTCCCAAAATCTGTTGGTATTTTTTATTCATTTAATTTAAATTTATGAACTGATTTAGAGAGAATAGTCATCTTATTTTTTTCTTTTTTGTGGCAATACTGGGGTTTGAACTCAGGGCTTTGCACTTGCTAGGCAGTTGCACTACCATTTGAGTCATGTCCTCAGCCTTTTTGCTTTTTTGGTTAGGGTCTTGCTTTTTGCACAGACTATTTTATGCTTCCTGCCATTGCTGGGATGACAGGTATGCATCACCACATCCAGCCTTTTTCTGTTCATATTGGAGTGTCACAAACTTTTTTTTGCCTTGGCTGGCCTGGAGCAGTGATCCTCCTGATCTCAACCTCTGCATAACTTGGGAAGACAGTCACATGCCACTGCCTCCAGCTGTTGGTGAGGATGAGGTCTTGCTAACTTTTTGCCTGGTCTGGCGTTGTCCACAGTCCTCTGGATCTCAGCCTCCCAAGAAGCTAGGATTTTGGTGTGAGCCACTGGCGCCCAGCTTAATATGGTTTTCTTATCCAAGCTTGTGATCTAAATATTATTCTTCCATTTGTTCAAGTCGCCTATGTTTCATAATAGTGTTTTATTATTCGCTATACTGGAATTTAAACTTGGCCATGCCTTCAGCCCTGTGTTACTTTAGTTATTTTTGAGATAGGGTCTTGTTGTTTTTGCCTGAGCTGGCCTTGGACCACAATTCTCCTACATACCCCTTCCAAGTAACCTGTGTAGTTTGTATTTTAACATTCCCATTTGTCAGATCCTAATAATTTCTTACTTGGGTTGTTATGAAGATTACTAATTGGTTTCTTCTCTTCTCTGTCATACTTCTGCCATTGAGTTTTTCTGAAACACAAGATAATATTTGACTCTTTTCTCTCTTAATGGAAGTCTTTGAGCTCTTTAGAATCAAGGTCAAATAAAGAATAAATGTTAAAGTGCTTAGAATGACATGCAAGACTATGATTGGCTCTTGGTGGCACATTCAGCTGTATCTCTTTGATGTCAGTAAGAATAATAGCTCTTCTCCCTTGAATGACTGAATTGTGTGTGTGTGTGTGTTACTGGGGCTTGAACTCAGGGCCTTTACCTTGAGCCACTCCACCAGCCCTTTGTGTGATGGGTATTTTAGAGATAGAGTCTCACGAACTATTTGCCCGGGTTGGCTTCAAACCGCAATCCTCCTGATCTCTGCCTCCTGAATAGCTAGGATTACAGGAATGAGCCACTGGTGCCCACCTGAATTTTTTCATACTTTGAATACTCTCAGTAGGTTATGTGCTGTTTGAGTTACTTCTTTAGTTGTGCCTGCACATATAGGTTCAGTGATTGAATTCTCTAAATAAAAATCTTGATTTTACAAATTATGTTTTTTTTGTAGTGAGGATGAGGATGATGACCTTCAGTATGCTGATCATGATTATGAAGTACCACAACAAAAAGGATTGAAAAAACTCTGGAACAGAGTAAAATGGACAAGAGATGAGGTATTTATTTGGCAAAGTTTACTAACTTCATATTTATATTTATAGTGTGAAAGATATTTTAAAAAATAAAATGTGAGAAAAAGTTGTCTGTTAACTAACTTACATTCTTTTCAGTCAGAGACATTCATAACTGGTTGATATTGGGATTGACAGATCAGTCATTTACTATACTGTATATACATGGAGGAACTTGTATCTGAGTAGATTTAGCCCTTCTAAAAGTGACCACTAGATATGACTTGACAGAATTGAAGAGTTAACTCTATTCAGGAGTAGAAAAGAATGGTGGAAAGATTTCTAACTGTTATACCTGTTTTAATAGGATGATAAGCTAAAGAAGTTGGTTGAACAGCATGGAACTGATGATTGGACTCTAATTGCTAGTCATCTTCAAGTAAGTGAAATCTTAAATTTTTTTTTTTTGATAAAGCTACTTTAGTGCCCTGGGTTAAATTTTGCATTTTTCAAAAACATGCCTACAGATTTTTGATTTAGGTTTCCTTCCTAAAGCATACCTGTCTTTCTGGTTTGTTTGTGGTTGGTTGTGAATGACTTAGAAAGTCTGATTTTCTAGTACGTGTTGGGCAACCCTAATCCAAAACTCTGGAATCTGCAGTGCTTCAAAATTGAAAACTTTCTGAATGCTGACCTGGCAACAGGAGGAAAATTCCATACCTGACCTCATATAATATGTCACTGTGAAAATGCAGGCACACTAAAAATGTTGAATAAAATCACTTTCAGGTAATGTGTATAAGATGTAATAAAATGTAAGTAAATTTCATGGTTAGACTTGTGTCCCATCTTCAGGATATCTCATGGGTATTCAAATATTCCAAAATCCTAAAAGGTTACCAATGCAAAACTAAAATGATGCTAAGTTTGGGTAACACTCTAGAAATACTTGTGATATAAGTTGAAACATCTGGAGAGAATTTAAATATTGAAATATTTTGATAGCTAAAATTAGGAAAATCACTAAAATCAGGAAAAACTGTTAAGATTGTCATTGTTTATATTTTAGAGTGTTACTGATTTTTTTTTTTAAAAAGTTATGCTTAGGGCCAGATATGGTGGGGCATACCTGGGATTCCATCTACTCCAGAGGCAGAGATAAGAGGATTGTAGTTGCGGCCCAACCTGGGCAAAAAGTTAGTGAGACTTGGTTTGGTGTGGTAAGAGCTTATGTGGTAGAGCTGCTTGCCTAGTAAGTTAGGCAGAATACTCGTATTTGAATTTTGAGATTGACTTACTTTGGTTTCAGAAGCCATGTTACCTGTGTTCTGTCTATATTGTCATCATAGTGCCTTTCAACATGGTCTGAAAACTGAGACCAGATTTTGGAAAGAGCGTAGTTAGTCTGAATTGTGTTTTAACCTCTTCAGCCTTCATCTTCCTTATGTATAATTTGTAGATAGTAGTACTTGTTTCTGTAATGTTGCTCTGAGGATTAGAAATAACATATAAGGTGCTTGGCATCGCTGCTGACATTTAGCAGCTATTTAATAAATGGAAGCTCAATTAGAAAAGCTGTTTATATTAGCTTTAACAAGAAATGCTGCAAATACATAGAAGAAGGAGCTGATTATTTTGAAGAAAGTAGTAGCCCTAAAATGGAGCACATTGATGTACAAAAGCCGTAAAGAATCTCAGTTTGAATAAAAATAACTTGAAGTCTATTGGTATAAAGCCATTCCTAGACAAGGTATTTGTGTGTATTTCCTCCCCCCATATTTTTTTTGTTGTTGTTGTTGGTACTAGGGTTTGAATTCAGGACCTCATACTTGCTAGGCAGGTGTTCTGCCACTCGAGCTATAGACTCAGTGCTTCTTTTGCTTTAGTTATTTTTCAGATGTGGTTTCATTTTTTGCCCAGGGCCAGCCTTGGACCACAATCCTCTTATGTATGTCACCTGTGTAGTTGTGTTTTGAGATATGCACCACCACACTTGGCTTGTTGGTTGAGATGGGATCTCACTAATTTTTTTTTTTTGCCCGAGTTGGCGTTAAACTGTGATCCACCAGCGCTCTGCCTCCCAAGTAGCTGGGATTACAGGAGGGTACCACCATGCCTGGCCCCTATCTATCTCTCTATATATTTGTAAATTATCTATAATCTGTGTTTATAGATGAACTACTATCTTCATAAAGTATTGAATCAGCAATGAAATATTAGTTATTATTTTAGTAATACATTGTGTTACTAGGTTAAAATAAGCCTTCATTCATTAACTGTTTTTGAAGTTTGAGATGTTTTTACTTAAAGTTTTCTTAATCTGTAAATTCATTTTCTTTTTTTTTGCTGTACTAGGGTTTGAACTCAGGGCTTCATGCTTGCTAAGCAGGCACTCTACCACTTGAGCCACTCCATCAGCCCTAATGTTCTTTTAAGTGTCATCCCAACCTCCTTAATTGACGTGTGATGCACATCTTCTATACAGATAACTTTTTCCTTGATAACTTGAGAGGGGTCATCATTTGTAAACATCCTTTTAATACGATGTTATCGTTGAGTCATGACTTTAGGGTTCCTTGCATTTTGTGTGATGTGAGTCCAGACTGCCGTGCTGTTTGAGTTGTCACGTCTGCTTTGTGTAGTTTTCTGCTTTCTGCTCTTTATTCTTTAATCCCAGATTCATTTCTTTATGTGAGTATCTGTGTCGTGGCTTTGCTAGAAAGCATAGCGTTTATTTAAGTTCAAATGTATTGTTTTATTTGTAGTCTAAGGCCTGCTGATTAACAAAAAAGGAGCAGAATGAGGGTGTAGGCATGTACAATAAATACTGCATGTCTAAGGACTGGCATTAGGTGCACGATTCTTGATTAAGACCTTGTTCTTGAGTGTGTGAGATTAAGTTTGGGCTGACTTGCTTTCTGGAAGACAGCTGTTCAATAACAAAATTAACCAAATTCTTTCAGAATCGTTCCGATTTTCAATGCCAACACCGATGGCAGAAGGTTTTGAATCCAGAATTGATAAAGGGTCCGTGGACAAAAGAAGAAGATCAGAGGGTAACTTTGTACTCTTAATGTTCACTGTAGTTGGGCTTGCTGTGTTTCTTATTAATCTGTTGTTTTTACATATCAGGTGCATATTTGAGTCACTTGATTTTGTTTTGTGCAGTCTGTTTATATAAGAATTGAATGTTGAATATCTTGAAATAATAGATATTTTTAATTGAGTCAAACCAAACATAATACAGATAAACCTTTAAAAATTTTTTTTGGTACTGGGGTTTGAACTCAGGGCCTCACACTTGCTATGCAGTAACTACCATTGAAGTCACATCCCAGCCCTATTTTATTTTATTTTTTGCTTTAGTTAATTTTGAAATAGGGTCTCATGCTTTTGTCTGGGGCCAGAATCGGACCACAATCCTCCTATCTGTACTTCCAGTATAACTGTAATTACAAGTATATACCACCATGTCTGGCTTGTTGGTTGAGATAGGGTCTTGCAAGCTCTTTGCCATAACTGGCCTCAAACCAGGATTCTCCTGGTCTCTGCTTTCTGAGTTGCTGAGATTATAGGCGTGTACCACCACACCTAACTACATACAACCTTTTGTTTCTGAGAGTTTGGTTTGTGGAAGGAAAAATGCTTCCTATAAGTTTTGTTTCTTTGTTTAAAGCTTGACTTAGCAACATTTAGGGTATAGTTTTCTGTCAACATTGGATTAATATGTTAAAATCAGGGTTTTGGGGTTTTTTGCTTTTTTGTGTGTATGTATGTGTGTGATACCAGGGGGTTGAATTCAGAGCCTTGTTGTGCAAGCTTGGCAAGTCTACCAATTGAAACCATGCCCACAGCTCTTTTGTTTTTATTTTGCTTTTGAGACAGGCTCTCACTAGCTTTACCTTGGGATCATCCTGCCTCTCCCACCCAAGTAGCTGGGACTGCAGGAGTGAGTCATCATGCCTGGCTTAAAACAAATTTCAATTTTATTTTTACATTTGATAACTTGACGGGTAAGGAAGTCACTCTGACTTTTCTCCTGACCTTTAATGAACCCCATAATTAGACAAACAGCAGGTCATCATGTTTCTAGAGGGCTGATAACTAAAACTAAGATCATTCTTTGGGCAATGAAAGTCGGAGAAGAATAGAAGTTTCTACCAGGAATTGTTCTTTAGTTCATGCCCCTTAAGGCCTACCTATTGCTGAGGGAGTAGAGAGTTAAGAGCATCCTTGCTACTGCTCAAAGCAGATAAGTCAGTGAACACAGCACTAATCTAATTCACTTAATGGCTGACAATAAGTTTTAATATGTATGCTCTTATTTAAAAGTACATTTAATAAATCCTGAAATTTTATTTTTTAAACATAGTAAATCAATATATGTAGAGTGAAAATAAAAAATTCTGCTAATATACAATGTTTATGATGTGATATTTGATAATAAGGCAAAGTGGCAATCAGTGGGCTGGTAATAATTATTTTTACAACTTTAGGTAAAATAAAAAACAAACTTAAAATGTGAAAAAAGAATATGTCATCTGTATTTTTTTTTTTTGTTGCAATACTGGAGTTTAAACTCAAGGCTTACACCTTGAGCCACTCTACCAGCTGTTTTCTGTGTTGGGTTTTTTTGAGATAGGGTCTTGCAAACTAATTGCTTAGGCTGGCTTTGAACTGCAATCCTCCTGATCTCCGCTTCCTGAGTAGCTAGGATTACAGGCGTGAGTCACCAGTACTCAGCTCTGCCATCTGTATTTTTGTCTGTTTGAGAAAGGAAAAAATATAACAACAGTTACTATAGATCTTTCATGCCTCCAAACTGATTTATTTGGCTTTCTACTGAAGCTTTCTTTTTTTTTAACGATATAAAGTAAAACGCACATCTCAACGTTTTTATGGTTATTTCAAATTAATTTTGTAGGAAAGCAGTTTAACTTATGAGTCACTTTAATTAGCCCCTAAGTTGGGAACCAAGGTTTGTACTTGTCAAATGCTGAAGGATAATTTATTAGTAAAATTGTTTTTTGCAAATTAGAATTGTGGCTGGAATTTAATGCACTTATTAAAAATGACATTCTGTGGAGTGGCTCAACCCCTAGAGCTCCTGCCTAGCAAGTGCAAAGCCTTGAGTTCAAACCCCAATACTGCCAACAAAAAAAGACATTTTTTTCTCTATTTCCTATTTTTTTGATTTAATTTTTTATTAGCATAAATTAATTGTACAAAGGGGTTTCATTTTGATATTTACAGCATGCATATAATGTACTTTGATCAAATTTGCCCTATCTGTATTACTCTTTTTTTTTTAATGTCCTATTTTCTTATTGCTGGGATCTGACCTATGACCTTATGCATACAAGGCAAGTGTTCTGTTGCTAAACTACATCCCCAGTCCTGACATTCTTATCTTTAAAAATTCTCTTAAAGTAATGCATTTTAAAACTTTGTTTTTGTTTCTTAGGTTATTGAATTAGTTCAGAAATATGGACCTAAAAGGTGGTCTTTAATTGCAAAACACTTAAAAGGAAGAATAGGCAAGCAGTGTAGAGAAAGATGGCATAATCACCTGAATCCTGAGGTGAAGAAGTCTTCCTGGACGGAAGAAGAAGACAGGATTATCTATGAGGCACATAAGCGGTTAGGAAATCGGTGGGCAGAAATCGCCAAACTGCTTCCTGGAAGGTGCTTATATAAATGTATATATGTTTTTCTGTACTTAAAAATGTTCCTTATTACCTTAATATTAAATATATTTCAAGTACCCTGTTATTTCTATTTAAAATTAAAATTTAGAATGCATAATCATTTGTTTGGGATCATTTGTAATAAATCCATGGTAAGGAATGTAATTACAGAGAACTCAGGGCCTCATGCTTAGTAGGTAGGTGCTCTGCCACTTGAGAAACTCCCCCAGCCCTTTCCTTTTTCAATGTCTTTGAACCATGATCCTCCTTATTTCTGCCTCCTGAGTAGCTAGGATTACAGGTGTGAGCCACCGGTTCCTGGTGGCATTACTTTTTTAATGAAATATTTTATAGCAGTAATTGTACAATAAAATAACAGACCTTTAGATTATGTAAACATTTAATGTATCCCCCAAATCATGTTTACATGTCATTGCTAGCCAGGCAGACCCTCTTTGTTCAAACTCCATTGAAATGGAATCTAAATCAGATGTTAATTTCATATTGGATATAGTATCCAGTGCACATGATCAGAGAATTACAAAGATACTGGCTGAAATAAACTGCTGTGAAAGTGTATTAAGAAAATTCAGTTTTTTTTTTTTTTTTGGCAGTACTAGGGTTTAAACTCAGCCTCATGCTTGATAGGCAGGCACTGTACCACTTGAGCCACACCTTTTTGCTTTTTCAAATAAGGTCTCTAGTTTATGCCTGGGTGGGCCTGGGCTGCAATCCTATTTATGCTTCCCACATAGCTGGGATGACAGGTGTATTCCACCATGTCCCACTTATTGGTTGAAATGGGTTCTCCCAAATTTTTTGCCCAAACTGGTTTCAAACTGTGATCTTCCTGATTTTTGCCTCCTGAGTAGCTAGAAGCTACCATGCCCAGCTTGAAAATTCAGTTCTAAATAAATTATGGCACATAATTTACATAAATACAGCATCTCCATCTAAGGCTGCAGTGTGCTCAGTACAGTCTGTATTGCACTGTTCAGATGTTTCCAATAGTCTTTAGTATGACAGACCAACAACCTTGGGGAATCTCATACTTCCCTCAGAAGATATGCATGTGTTTTTATTGCTCTAATTTTTATGTAGTACCTTAGATTGTACCTAGTGTCTTTATATGTATTTTTAATTAATCTTTGTATATGGGGAAATATGCAGAGATCAAATATTGTTTTTGTTTTATAGATAAGGAAATTAAGGCATAGTTAAATTTTTTATCCAAGTTGCTAACCCTGGACTAGACTATTTCTAACTTTTGCCATGTTCAGTCTCTTATATCTTTTTTTTTCTGGTGGTACTGGAATTTGAACTCAGAACCTTGAGCTTGCCAGGCAGGTGGCTAGCACTTAACCCACACCCCCAGCCCTTTTTGCTTTAGTTATTTTTTAGATAGGGTCTTGAGTTTTTGCCTGTGGCTGGCCTGGACCAGGGTCCTCCTACATATGCCTTTTGTGTAGCTGGGACTCAGGTGTATGCTATTGTGCCCACCTCTTTTTGTTGAGATAATAGGGTCTTGTTAACGTTTTGCCTGGGTTGGCCTCCAGCCTCAATCCTCGCAATCTCCACCTCCTAAGTAGATGAGATTGCGGGCATGAGCCACTGCACGTGGCTCTTCTACATTTTTTTACTTTCCATAAAACCTAGTTAGTGCCTTAACATAAAGTAGGTTTTTAGTAAGTGTATATTTTATACAGATGGAATTTTCACTACAAATAACGATAAGTTGAAGATTTACATTTTTAACCTTAGGTAAGAGGGGAGCTAATGAACTACATTTTGTTCTAAGAAGTGAGAAAGAATAGTGGATTCTGTAACCTATGTTTTGCCTTTCATGACCCATTTTGTTCATGACTTAAGGCCTTTGCCCGTGCTATATTCTTTATCTAGAATGCTTTTTTTCTCCCTGTTTTGTTTTTGTTTTTCAGAAAGGATCTCACTATGTGCCTTGAACTTGTGATTCTCCTGCTTTAGCTTCCTGAGGGCTGGGGTTATACATTTGTGCCATGACAACTGGTTTTTTTTTTTTTTTCTGCTCTTATATGTCTGGTTCATTCTTGTCATTCAGAGCTTAACTTCACTGTCATCTTGTAGAGGCCTTCCTGCACACCTAACCAAAATTACTCCAGTTAGCCACTCTTCCTATCCTACTTTAGTTAATTGGCAATGCACTGATACATTTTTCTTATTTGTTTCTTTAAAAAAATTTTTTGGTTTACTTTTTAATTAGCATACATTGATAGTATGAGGGGTTTCATTGGGATAATTCCATAGATCCATATAGTGTACTTTGAACAGGTTCACTCTCTTCTTTACATTTCCTTACTCCTTTCTCATTTATTTCTTTGCTTTTCTATTCTTCCTTCCCCATTACCACATTTCTAGTGAGAATGTAAGCTCATGGACCTTCCTTGTCTATTTCGCTGCAACATCTATGGTGCTTAGAGCTGTGCCTGATAAGTAGACATACAGTTCACTTTTAGAATTTTTAAAAGGTGTCTGATTTCACATTGTGAAAATTTGTTTTAAGCACTTTGTGCAAGTTCTACAGTATTAAAAATTGTAGAATCTGTTTTCTTTTTAAAATTATGCACTTTTATTTCTTAGGACTGATAATTCTATCAAAAATCATTGGAATTCTACCATGCGAAGAAAAGTGGAACAGGAGGGCTACTTACAGGATGGAATCAAATCAGAACGATTGTCATCAAAACTCCAACACAAACCTTGTGCAACAATGGACCATTTGCAAACCCAGAATCAGTTTTACATACCTGTTCAGGCACATAATTTTAATATCTTTATTATTTAAAATATTTCCTTAGTTGCTGTATAGGAATGTATTTGGTTTCTTAAAAGGACAAGTAAAACACAATTGGGGGGATGAGATAGACACTTAAATTTCCAAGCTAAAAAATATGCCATAACTTTGACAAATATTTTGGCAAAAACTCATTAAAATATTTCCTTTTATATATAATTTTTACATTCAGAAATGTAATGTGTACATTTACTAACACTCTAGTTGTCTGCATCTTCGTTTATGCTTCAGTTAATTTTCATTTGTGCTTTAATATCTGTTATAGTTTCCACTGAAAATGTGTTCTGTGCTAGCAAGCCAAAGGCCTTGAGCTCAAGCCCCAGAACTTCCAGGAAAAACACGCACAAAGTGTTGTTTAATTGTAGTATTACTTATCTTGTAGGTGTGTATAAAATGGCTTAAAGGAGAAATAGTCAAAACTCATTCAAGTCATCATTTTGGGGGTACAGTAAATAGTTGGTCTTTGATATTTTTTGACTTGTCTCTTCTCCCCACTCCCAGTATCCAGTCATTTGGGTTACTTCAGTCTTTGTTTAGACAGATTATTAGAGATTATCCAAGTTCAGAATGGGACAAGCTCTATGTTGTCCCTTACAGTGCATTTTCCTACCAACAAGAAATTAATTTAGATTCTTCATAAGGCTTGTTTTACCTTTTCCTGTCTCCCTGTCTGTTATGACATTTTATTAATGAGCAATTCTTGGTCCTTTTCATATAACATGTAAAGACTAAGTCATGATGAATAGCATCTACCAAAAGATAAAACTGGACAAGGTGTTAAAAAAAATCTGTGCTTGCTCTGTCTCAGATTTTTAAAATTTTATATTTAATGGACATAAAGTTTTTTAAAAACATGCTTTAAAAAGAACCACTGACAGTGCTGATGTTTTAATTTATAAGTAGGAAAACATATGAAGACAGTATAGTTATCTGCTGATACTTAACCTTAGGGATTGTCTGTTTCTTTACATTTTTCTTTAAGAGTCCTAGATTTCACCAGCATAAACTGAAACATTATGCTTCTATCTTAGAAAGTTTGTCATTTAAATTTATTTTTTAACTGATAGAAAAATAATTTTAAAAAATTAACTTGGTGCCATTGGAGTGCTTAAGAGTGTAAGTCAAAATACGTTGGAAGTCAGGTGTTGTGGTGCACACCTGTTATTTCAGCTCTCAGGAGGCTGAGGCAGGAGGATCTCGAGTGGGAGGCCAAGTGGGCTCCTAAAGCAAACAAACAAAATACCCCACCCAACCCACAAAGTGTTGTAAGATCAGGATATTTCTTGTGTTTTAAGAATTATTTTCCTTTTTAGTAATTTCAGAAAGATTTGTATATTCGTAGTTCAATTAATTTAAGATAATTCTAATTTTATTTATAAATGTGACTTGAAGAAACAGGTAGATTGATTTGAAATACTCTTTCAGATTTTCATGAAAAGTTTGATAAAGATAAGTTTCTAATTCATTGCAGTTACCAACTTTGAGTGATAAGTGATACTAATTGAGTATTGTAAAAGTTAGGCTGTATTTTAAAATTTATCTGTAATGACTTTGCACTGGATAATGATTTAGGTAGGCCATTATAGAAAGTAGACAACGTCATATTTATTTGCTTTTCAGGTTTTTAAATTTCTTCTCTCATATTTCTTTCTTGTTTTTGGTGGTACTGGGGTTTGAACTCAGGGCTTTGCACTTGTAGGGCAAGCACTCTGCTACTTGAGCCATGTGTCTAGACTCTTTTATGTTCAGGATATTATTTAGATAGGGTCTTGAGTTTTTGCCCTGGGAGGACCTGGACCACAAAGCTATTTGTCTACAGCCTCTCACATAGCTGGGATCACAGGGATATACCACCACTCTGAGCTTATTTGTTGAGATGGGATTTCAATAACTTTTTGCCAGGGCTGGCAATCTTTGCCTCCCAAGTAGTTGGAATTATTGCTGTGCCTGGTTCATATTTCCTTTCATTATTGTTCACAAAACTCACATGGACTTTCACAGATCTTATTGTAGATGTTTTAGAAATGAGGTGGAATGATAGACTATTGTCAGTGTATCTATTCAAATACATGAGTGATTCTGATTGTTTTTCCAAGACAAGTAATAGAAGGAGCCCTGTTTTCCAATCTTTCTACTCAGAGACTAGCATGGGATGGTGGTAGGAGTAGGAGATAAAATTTTATGCTAGTCTCCAGCTCTGTGATAGCTTCATGTGAACTAGTCCCTTGTCTAAGAGATAGCAACACAATTATGTTGTCAGGAGATAGGGTAACCCTTCTCCAGCAGCTTGCCTGATAAAGTAGGCTAAGTAATTCTCGTACTTCATCTATAAAAGGTGATCAGTAGATTTTAGGAAGAGAGATGTAGTTACTAGATAAGAAACTATTGCAGGTATGAATTTTTAACATTATTAAATAAGTTTTTAGTGTTGGCATTTTATAGAAAGTTTACCTCAGATTTTAAAAATTTGTGTAGCATTATATGTGCAGAGTAATGCTTTACTAGAAAAAGTAATTGAGGGTGAATATGCTCAAAGCACATTATATGCAATGTGGAAATGTCACGATGTACAATTTACACATGCCAATAAACTAACAATGCTTTACTTACTTTTTAGATCCCCGGTTATCAGTATGTATCACCAGAAGGCAATTGTGTAGAGCATGTTCAGACTTCTGCCTTTATTCAGGTAACTGGTAACAGAAACAATGGAAGACTAGTGCCCATTCTTCATCGGCTAATGGGGTAAAAGCAACGCTATCTGTCCCATTTACTTTTTGCGTATTGTAAAGTTAAAGGGGAAAGTGTGTAAGTGGGTTTGAAAAAATATGAACTATACAAGTATAAGGTGATTGACAATACCAGTATAGTGATTCATTCATTCTTGCAATTTAAAGCATTCAAACATTTGAAAATTTAAATATTCAAACATTTGCTGAATTGAATAATATAGTTCAATGTACTAAAATATTTCAAGCATAAATTTTTCAACTGATATAGATGATACAAGGTAGTTTTTAGGTTTGTTTTTGGTTTTTTGAGATAGGGTCTTGCCATGTAGCCTAGGCTGACCTCAAATTTTTGATCATCCTGCCTCTGCCTTCTGAATGCTGGGATTACAGGCATGTGCCACTACACCTGACACAATTTTTTTTTTTTTTTGCGGTGCTGGGGTTTGAACTCAGGGTCTCATGCTTGCTAGGCAGGCGCTTTTACCACTTAAGCCACCCCACCAGTCCCAACAATATGTTTTTAATGCATTTAAATTTTCCCAAATCCTTTCTGCTGATTTGAAAATATTTACCAGCACATTTTTGGTGGAATTGTGATATACTAAGTATTTAGTATTCAGTAGCACTAAGCTTTATTAGAGGAAATACATTTTAGATTGCATAGAAGAAAATAAAAATTAGAACAATGACATTTTTAATTTTGTAAGTGGCCAGTTTCTCTCTCTTATTTAACTTACTTTAGCAACCCTTTGTTGATGAAGATCCTGATAAAGAAAAGAAAATAAAGGAACTTGAATTGCTTCTTATGTCAGCAGAAAATGAAGTTAGAAGAAAGCGACTTCCATCTGTAAGAAATAAGCTAAATGTTTACATTTTATGTTAGAATCTTTCATATATATGCTTTTATAGTTTTCAGCAGGTATAAAGCATTTTCAGTATGATATCACATTTTAATACGGTATAAACATAGTTTTTTAAATTTCTAACTTTGAGGTTATCTGATTATGATATGCAGTTCTTTGAGTATATTTTACAATGTTCTGTATTAATATTCTTTTTTCTTTGAAAAAAGGATGCTTCTTGAGTCATAAATATCAAGCAGACTTTGGGTAAAAACCTTTGATAAATTTTTTTGTGTGTGAAAAATTTGTGTGGTTTAGATTAGGCTTTGGTTTTATTTTAGACCTTCCATATAATGATGGATTTAATAGGAAAAAGTAAAGCTTGGAAATGAGCAACTTAATAGATGAAGAGAGACTTATGAGCTCCAAAATTACCTTTTTTCTCTTTGAAAAAAATTTCCTGTTTATTCTATTTAGAATATGAAAACTCAGTAAATTGGAAAAAGTAATACCATTAAAATATGTAGAAAGGAAGGGCTGGGGATATAGCTCAGTAGTAGAGAACTTGCCTACCATGAGAAGGCCCTGTGTTCAGTTCCCAGCACTGGAAAAAACAAACAAACAAACAAACAAACAAAACTTTCTAGAACATGTAGAACGGGAACATTGATTTTATGCCCTCTTAAAGAACTCTTTCAAAAAAAGAAGCTTTATATGGTTGTTGAGTTTTGTCTTATCAGGTATGAAAACTATTGTCTCAGATTTGGCTAATGAGAATAACTAGAAGTATTAAGTTAGGAAAAATTAAACAGGCCCTATTAGATGAATTAAAAGAAAAAAAGACACAAGCTTATACTTAAATGACAATTTTAAAAGTTTAAAATAATATCTTGAGTCTTTTTTATGTTTAGAAAAGGGCTTTCTTTCCCTTCTTCTGCCTCTCCCCCTTCCTCTTTTTCCTCTCTTCCTCCCTCTCTCCCTCTCCCTTCCTCTCTTCTTCCCTCCCTCTCTTTTCCTCTCTTCCTCTTTCCTTCCCTCACTTCCTCCCTTCCTTTCTTCTTTCCTTCCTTCCTCCTTTGGTGGGACTGGGGTTTGAACTTAGGGCTTTGTGCTTGCAGAGGATGCACTCTACCACTTGAACCACAGCTCCAGTCCCATTTTGTTCTGGTTATTTTGGAGATGGAGTCTCAAGCACTATTTGCCTAGGCTGGCCTCAAACCACAATGCTCCCTATGTCAGTCTCCCAGGTAGTAAGGATTATAGGCATGAGCCACTGGAGCCAGGCTAGAAAAGGACTTTCTTGAACTGGGGGGTGTAACTCAGTCATAGAGTGCCTGACATGCGTAAGTCCTTAGGTTTAATCCCAGCACTGAAAACAACAACAACAACAACAACAACAACAACAACAAACTGTCAGTGTTGGTTTTCTTGATTTAGAGCTAAGAGTAAAATACGTTCAGAATGACTAGAAACTCAGACAGTATCTGTATGATAGGATAACCTGAGACTTTGAAATCATATTATGAGGCAATTGGTGATGTCTTTATACTAGTTAAAAAGATAATGGAAAATGATATGTGTTACTTGTAATAGGTGAGATATATTACAGAAAAAGCACACTTTTTGGCAATACTTGGATTTGAGCTCAGGGCCTTATGCTTGCTAGGCAGGCACTCTTACCACTTGAGCCATGCCTCAGCCTCTTTTTACTTTTAGTTATTATCTTTTTCAGATATGGTCTCACATTTTTTGCCCCTGCCAGGCTTGGACTGTGATTTTTCTACCTATGCCTCCCGTGTAGCTGAGATTATAGACATGCACCACCATACCTGGGTTATTGGTTGAGATGGGATCTCACTAACTTTTTTTTGCTAGGATTTATCTCAAACTGCAATCCTTCCTGAGTAGCTGGGATTACAGGCTTGTACCACAACACTAGGCCTTTTGCACTTTTTGTTTTGAAACTGGATAAACCATGGGAAAACAGGAAGACCTGAGTGAACCTATCTTATTTGTTACAAAACTACAAATAAATAGTTATGATCAGAGAGAGCACATTTGTATATGATTATGTCATGTTTAAACCATTTTGGAAATTTTTAGGGCTAGGAGTGTAGTTCAGTGGTAGAATACCTGTGATGTACAAAACAAAAACAACAAAAAAAAGGAAATTAGATTTTAAAAAATGGTGGTCTTATTTTAATTTAATAGAAAAAAATATAAGTAGCTAAAAGCATTTTGCATTAAGAAGGGAGAAAGTTACTAATTTCTTTTTAGCACTTACAAAATCTGCTCTTACAAAGATCTGGTTGAATAACAATGTATTTTTCCCTCACGTTTATTGATTTATTTTTATTTTCACATATTAGTTGTACAAAGGGGTTTCATTGTGATACTTCCATATGTGCATAAAATATACCTCAATCAAATTCATTCCTTCTATCTCTCTTCCTCATCCTCCTCCCTCCTCATAAAACAATTTAAGCAGGTTTCATAGTTCTATTTTCTTACATGGGTATAAAATACTACAACCATTTTCACCCCAGCCTTTTACTTTCCCCTTCCATCCTCCCTACTCCCACTGGTACCACTCTCAAACAGGACCTGTTTTACCTTCCCATTACTCATTTTTAAAGACTAGATTCCATGTAAATCCCATATTTTGGCTATTGTGGATAGTGATGCTATAAATATGGTTATACACGTATTTCAACTGTATATTGACTTACATTCCTTCACTTATATGTCCAGGAGTGGGACAGCAGGATCATATGGCAGTTCTGTCTTTAGTTTTTTAAGGAACTTCGATACTGATTTCCAAAGTGGTTGTACTAATTTACATAACCACCAACAGTGTCTGAAGGTTCCTTTTTCTCTGCATCTTAGAATCTTTTTTTTTTTTTTTTGAGGTCCTGGGGTTTGAACTCAGGGCCTACACTTTGAACTACTCTACCAACCCTTTTTGTGATGGTTTCTTTTGGAGATAGGGTATCATGAACTAATTTTCCCTGGCTGGCTTTGAACCATGATCCTCTTGATCTCTGCCTCCTGAGTAGCTAGGATTACAGATGTGAGCCACTGGCACACGGCTTATTTGGTTTGTTGATTATAGCCATTCTTATGGGGGTGAGAAAGAGACTCGATGATGTTTTGATTTGCATTTCTTTTATGACTAAGGATGTTGAATATTTTGTGTATTTATTAGCAATTTTTACCTCTGTTGAAAACTTTTGTTTGCCTATTTATTAATTGGATTATTTGATCTTTTGGTGTTTAATTTTTTAAGCTCTATAGAGTCTGAATATTAGTCTTATATTCAGCTGGTAAAGATTTTTCTTCTATTCTGCAAGTTTTCTTTTGATTCTGGTAGCTTCCTTTCTTGTGCAAAAGCTTTTTAATTTGATGCAATCTCATTTGGCAATTATTTCTCTTATTTTCTGAGCTATTGGGGTTCTCTCCAGAAAATCATTACCTGTGCCCATGTCTTCAAGGGATTTCCCTATGTTTTTCTCTGGCAGTTTAAACTTTATGGTCTTACATTAAGATCTTTGAGCCATTTTGAAATCATTTTTGTACTGGTGAGAGATTGGAGTTTTAGTTTTCTACATGTGGATATCCAATTTTCCCAGTGCCACTTATTGAAGAGGCTGTCTTTTCTCCAGTGTAGGTTTTTGGTGCTTTTATCAAAAATCAGATGGCTGTAGCCATGTGGGCTTATTTCTGGATCTTTTATTCCATTGATCTACCTGTCTGTTTTTGGGCCAATATTATTCTATGTTTGTATTTTGATACCTCTGGGATTGCCCTTTTTGATCAGGATTGCTTTGGCTTTTTGGGATCTTTTGTGAATAATAATATTTTAGGTTCTAGAGGGAGGTTGCTTCAGTCAGTAGAATAGACTGTATACATGTTTTTATTTTTTAAAACATTTTTGTGATGATTATGACTACCATTTTACTGAGTATTCATCATGTTCCACTCTTGTAGCTGTTTTAATTCTGTGAAGCAGATGAAGGGTTTTTAGAGAGTCACATTTAGGTCTGTGTGATTACAATATTATGCTTTTTATGTTGGGCCTAGTGACCTCTTTCTTTGTCTTTTGGATCTTCCTACCTGTAGACTATTGAAAGGCGGGAATATGGTTTGGAAGCTATCCCCTGAAAGTGATTGTTAATTCAAATTGTAGCTATGCTAATGAAATTATTGTTTTATTTTAGTTTTAGAAACTTTAATACAGGTAGAACTTGTTTTGCGGCTATGATTTTTTTAACTTACTTGAAACTTTACATTTTGTTATTGTACATTACTACATTTTAGCAATGTTTATTTTTAATAGGAATGGGAACCATTTATTGAGTGCTCCCTATGGAATAGGCAATGTGCCATCTATAAAATGGTAGCTGTTAGCCACACTTTAGTTTTATTTTTTATTTATTTATTTTTATTGTTTTATTAGTCATATGTGCATACAAGGCTTGGATCATTTCTCCCCCCTGCCCCCACCCCCTCCGTTACCACCCACTCCACCCCCTCCCGCTCCCCCTCACCCCCTCAATACCTGGCAGAAACTATTTTGCCCTTATCTCTAATTTTGTTGAAGAGAGAGTATAAGCAATAATAGGAAGGAACAAGGGTTTTTGCTGGTTGAGATAAGGATAGCTATACAGGGAATTGACTCACATTAATTTCCTGTGCATGTGTGTTACCTTCTAGATTAATTCTTTTTGATCTAACCTTTTCTCTAGTTCCTGGTCCCCTTCTCCTATTGGCCTCAGTTGCTTTTACGGTATCTGCTTTAGTTTCTCTGCGTTAAGGGCAACAAATGCTAGCTAATTTTTTAGGTGTCTTACCTATCCTCACCCCTCCCTTGTGTGCTCTCGCTTTTATCATGTGCTCAAAGTCCAATCCCCTTGTTGTGTTTGCCCTTGATCTAATGTCCACATATGAGGGAGAACATACGATTTTTGGTCTTTTGGGCCAGGCTAACCTCACTCAGAATGATGTTCTCCAATTCCATCCATTTATCAGTGAATGATAACATTTCGTTCTTCTTCATGGCTGCATAAAATTCCATTGTGTATAGATACCACATTTTCTTCCCCCCCCCCCCGGTTTTATTTATTTATTTATTTATTTATTTTCATTTTTCTTTTATTATTCATATGTGCATACAAGGCTTGGTTCATTTCTCCCCCCTGCCCCTACCCCCTCCCTTACCACCCACTCCGCCCCCTCCCGCTCACCCCCCCCCAATACCCAGCAGAAACTATTTTGCCCTTATCTCTAATTTTGTTGTAGAGAGAGTATAAGCAATAATAGGAAGGAACAAGGGTTTTTGCTGGTTGAGATAAGGATAGCTATACAGGGCATTGACTCACATTGATTTCCTGTGCGTGGGTGTTACCTTCTAGGTTAATTCTTTTTGATCTAACCTTTTCTCTAGTACCTGTTCCCCTTTTCCTATTGGCCTCAGTTGCTTTAAGGTATCTGCTTTAGTTTCTCTGCGTTAAGGGCAACAAATGCTAGCTAATTTTTTAGGTGTCTTACCTATCCTCACCCCTCCCTTGTGTGCTCTCGCTTTTATCATGTGCTCATAGTCCAATCCCCTTGTTGTGTTTGCCCTTGATCTAATGTCCACATATGAGGGAGAACATACGATTTTTGGTTTTTGGCCAGGCTAACCTCACTCAGAATGATGTTCTCCAATTCCATCCATTTACCAGCGAATGATAACATTTCGTTCTTCTTCATGGCTGCATAAAATTCCATTGTGTATAGATACCACATTTTCTTAATCCATTCGTCAGTGCTGGGGCATCTTGGCTGTTTCCATAACTTGGCTATTGTGAATAGTGCCGCAATAAACATGGATGTGCAGGTGCCTCTGGAGTAACAGTCTTTTGGGTATATCCCCAAGAGTGGTATTGCTGGATCAAATGGTAGATCGATGTCTAGCTTTTTAAGTAGCCTCCAAATTTTTTTCCAGAGTGGTTGTACTAGTCTACATTCCCACCAACAGTGTAAGAGGGTTCCTTTTTCCCCGCATCCTCGCCAACACCTGTTGGTGGTGGTGTTGCTGATGATGGCTATTCTAACAGGGGTGAGGTGGAATCTTAGTGTGCTTTTAATTTGCATTTCCTTTATTGCTAGAGATGGTGAGCATTTTTTCATGTGTTTTCTGGCCATTTGAATTTCTTCTTTTGAGAAAGTTCTGTTTAGTTCACTTGCCCATTTCTTTATTGGTTCATTAGTTTTGGGAGAATTTAGTTTTTTGAGTTCCCTGTATATTCTGGTTATCAGTCCTTTGTCTGATGTATAGTTGGCAAATATTTTCTCCCACTCTGTGGGTGTTCTCTTCAGTTTAGAGACCATTTCTTTTGATGAACAGAAGCTTTTTAGTTTTATGAGGTCCCATTTATCTATGCTATCTCTTAGTTGCTGTGCTGCTGGGGTTTCGTTGAGAAAGTTCTTACCTATACCTACTAACTCCAGAGTATTTCCTGCTCTTTCCTGTATCAACTGTAGAGTTTGTGGTCTGATATTAAGATCCTTGATCCATTTTGAGTTAATATTGGTATAGAGTGATATACATGGATCTAGTTTCAGTTTTTTGCAGACTGCTAACCAGTTTTCCCAGTAGTTTTTGTTGAAGAGGCACACTTTAGTTTTAAATAAAATTTAAAATTCAATTACTCATTTGCACTAACCACATTTTGGTTTCTCATGTGACTACTGGTTCTCCTATATGAGCAATGTTTTAGGATAGCACGTAGGAGAGGTGCCTGATTTAGATTCACTTAGAGACATTCCTGGGAGAAGTCTTATCTGTGTTCAGCCTTAGGGGATGATTATATATTAGCAAAGTAGATAAATTAGTACAATATTATAAATGGAACACATAAAAGCATATATTTATATGAAATACTTCCCAATATTTGAACTGACTCTTAAATGAAGAGTAGGACTCTCTCCAGTCAGTGGTTGGGGAACATTCTAGATCACAGGAGCAACCGTGTACAAAGGCACTCCATGGTAAAAGTCATTACTCACTGGGGAACTGCAAGCATTATGGCTGGTATCCCTGGGAGAAGGACTTGTAAGTGGAAGTGTTATGAAATGATCGTTGAAAAGAAAGAAGACCAGGTTTTAGGAGTTTGGACTTTATATTACATATAAATGCTAGTTTTATTTCACCATGATTTTGTAGCTAAAAATTTGATTAGAAAAAAGAAACATAGTGAAAGTATGGGATTTGGTGAAAACAGGTTTTATATCAATGCTGAGGAAAGACTTACATTTGTTACTATATTTTTAGCTGAAATGATATGAAGTATGTTGTTTGGGAAAAAAAACTTTCACTTAAAGTCTAAATGTATGCCTATATTGAGAATGATAAATAATATCAAATCTCTTTTGTACTTTTAGCAACCTGGAAGCTTTTCTAGCTGGTCTGGTAGTTTCCTCATGGATGATAGTATGTCTCATACTCTAAATAGCCTTGAGGAACAAGCTGCTGAGCTTTACAGTGTGGATGAAAATCAGATTGTTTCTGCTCAGCAGAATTCACCCACGAAGTTCCTGGCTGTAGAGGCAAATGCTGTGCTGTCTTCTCTACAGACCATCCCAGAATTTGCAGAGACTCTAGAACTTATTGAGTCTGTAAGTTTGAAATTAAGAGATTATCAAGTTTGATTTTAGTTACATGATTTCACGCTCAGAAACTCCGTTTAATAGATTGTTAACCAACTTCATTTTAAGCATTACTTTGTATGCCATACATAATAATTGTGGCTTTTGGCCAAAAAAAAGTTTAAATATTTTTTGAGAATGTGCTTTGTAAATAACTTTTTATAATTAAAAATTAATTATTTTTTATTACGTAAGTTGTACATGCATATTAGAAAGAGTTGGAATCTAGAGAAAACTGTGAAGAAGAAAATTTAAATCCCTATAGTCTCAGAATAATTTGATGTATTCCTTTCAGTTTGTGTTATATATTAGAAAACACATGTGTATGTTTTTATTTATTTATTATTTTATTTATTTATTTTGTGGTACTGGGTTTTGAACTTAGAGCGTACACCATGATCCACTCTACCAGCCCTTTTTTTTTGATGGGTTTTATTTGAGATAGGGTTTCGTGAACTATTTGCCCAGACTGGCTTTGAACAATGATCTGCTTGATCTCTGCCTCTCGAGTAGCTAGGATTACAGGTGTGAGCCACTGGTGCCCAGCTTGTTTTTATTTATTTATTTATTGGCAGCACTGGGGTTTGAACTCAGGGCTTCACAATGCTAGTCAGGCACTTTTACCACTCTGCCAGCTCCATATATATGTTTTTAGACCCAAGTATATACTTATATATTATGTTTGTGATTTCTTTTGTCTTCCACTTATGTTATGAGCCTGCCTTTGTTTTCTTAGCTTTTTTAAACTTGAATTTTAGTGGCTGTATAATATTGCATTATATAAATGTAAGAAAATTTATTTACTCAATTTACTATTACTATTGGACATTAGGGGATATCTAGATTTTCAGTTAATAAAAAGTACTTATGTAGAGTATTTATATAAAGCTTTATGCAAAACAATGACTATGTCCTTAGCTTAAATTGAATTTCTGGACCAAAATGTGTCACTGTTTAAACATGTTCCATATATATTACCAAGTGGTTATACAAAGTTTGATAGTGCTTTCCTATTGTGAAGTAGAATGTAAAGTTTTATGATGAGTTGTACTTTTTGATAATAACTTAGAATAATTTCTTCTTTTCTAAAACAACTTCAGGACAAAATAATTTGTTCTCATACAAATATTTTGACAGTAAGTTTCATCTACTCAATTATATGAAATATTATTTTGGAATGTTTCAAATTGGTATTGTAGGAAAACCAGAATCTGTTCCTGTCAGATGGTCTTACTTAAAAAAGATGTTCAAGGAAAGCCTGATCTACTGATAAAATGAGTAAATAACTTGGTGAAAATCTCCATCTTGTAATCATGATCAGCTTTAACTAGGTTCCAGCATTAGCTTTAGTAAGAATTTTAACTTATTGCAGGATCCTGTAGCGTGGAGTGACGTTACTAGTTTTGATCTTTCCGATGCTGCTGCTTCTCCTGTCAAGTCCACCCCAGTCAAACTTATGAGGATTCAACACAACGAAGGAGCCATGGAATGCCAATTTAACGTCAGTCTTGTACTTGAAGGGAAAAAGAACAGTTGTAATGGTGGAGAAAGTGAGGCTGTTCCTTTAACATCTCCAAATGTGGTCAAGTTTAGCACTCCACCAACCATCCTCAGAAAGAAGAGAAGAATGAGAATGGGACAGTCCCTAGGCAATGACCTTGGTGATAGCTCATTCAATGATGGCGCTAATACAGCTCTAAAACACACACCGGTGAAAACACTACCATTTTCTCCTTCACAGGTAGTGAGTTGTTTTTGTTTATGTTCCCAAATGTTGACAAGCTAGATTAAGTTAGATCTTTTAATATTTTCAGTGGTAGTTGGTTGCTTTGATAACATATAAAACAGATAATGTGTTTAAATGTGTACATGAGAGTGCTAACTCATAACAAAGCATAATAGCTATGTCATAGCAGTCTACAATTTTTTTGAGTAAAGAAAGGTGTTTTCTTTATCATACAGTTCCACATTTTTATAGAACTCACCAAGAAAGTGTCCCAGAAAGTTAAAATGATTTGCCCAAAGTTATCTAATGCAGAGCTGAAGCTAAGATCCAGTTTGACTCTTTGATCCTTGACTGTTAACACATATGCCTGATGAGGTATAAAGAGTCTTCACCTCTAGAGCAATTCAGATTTTAGCTTACCTATTGTATTTTCCTTCTTAACATTCTTTGGAAGATACTTTTGCTTACTATAAGAATCTCCTATCAGGAGATTTTCTAAGCATGTCTGGAACTATAGCCTGCTTTCTCCGTTAGTAATATGTATATTAGGACAGTTTCTTATTGACACCTTGCTATATTCTAGGCTGGGCCAAACCCTTTTGGTATAACATCTCAGTTAATCTTTCAAAAAAAAAAAAAAAGTCCTTAGAAGTTAGGTAGAGTGAAATTCAGAAGTTGAATAACATGTCCTAGGTCACAGTAAGAGATGGAGCTGCAGTTTGCTGAAAGTGTTTTGACAGAGGTTAAAAATTAGTTTTATGGAAGAATTAGGAAGTTTAATGGTCAAATAAACATGGAGAATGCTGAGATATTACTGGAGGATGTTTCAAGGCTGGGAAGATGCTTCAGAGGATACCATTTACATGACTACAATGTGAATAGTACATATTTTCACTCCTTTCCCAGCCCGAGTTAAAAAGCATCCTTGGGAAGGTGAAAAGGCCTTAAGCACACTACCAGTTTTCCATTTCCAGAGTTTTATACTCTAGCAATTTTTATTCAGGTATAAATGCTAAGGTGGAAAGTGTCTGAAAGGTGCTTATATCCCATGACAAAAGAGTTTGTGTTTTATTCTGTAAAAGAGGGCTTGGTATGCTAATCTTAAGGTAAAGTAATTCAAGTGTTAGGAATCAGGAGTGCTAGAGCTAGAATTCATTCCAGTTATAAGAAGCAGTCTTGAAAGCAATTTCCACTTCTTCATACCACTGCTTCCAATGTATGGACTACAAAAGTAAGTTTGTATTTCACAATTGTATATGAGACTCAATGAGTACATTGTGTAATTTAGAAAATAGACCCTGTGGTACCAGTTTTGTATGCTCAAAGGTTCTGTACTATGTTCTAGATAGGCAAATTTGCCAGACTGTTGTATATCTTATAACCAAAGCATTATTATAAGAATCTTTTTCTCCTCCTTCCTTCTTCCCTCCTTCTTGCTCTTCCTTCCTTCTTCTTTCTCAAGACAAGGTCTTTCTCTCTTGGACCAGCCCAAGTGATCTTTCTGCCTCAGCCTCCCAATGAGTTGGGACTACAGATGTGCACCACCATGCTAGTCTATTACTGTATTTTGGAAAAAGGCCACTGAAGAACATTTCTTAATAACGGAGCTCTTTCAGTTGTACAAAACTGTTACAGTTAAGATACCACCAACTATGGTTTCTGTAGATTCCTATTTGATAATACACTATTTGGTTTTTAAAATTTTGCATTGTTCTTTGTGACTTTTGACCATTTGTTAAACAACTGTTTCTTAAAGGCCTATTATGTGCTAAATGCTGTTCTAAGTGTGGGGTGGGGAGGAAGTAATGAATAAAACAAAAATTTTGCCTTTATGGAGCTCAATTTCCATGAAGTAGAATATAAATATATTGATAATCTTTTCCTAAAGCAAATGAGGAAATAATAGCATCTTATCAGTTTGATATTTGTGTTGGGATTTTGATATTCTAAAAATTGTCTTCAAACTCTCTTCCCTTTTTAGTTTTTCAACACATGTCCTGAAAATGAACAACTTAATATGGAAAATCCATCATTTACATCAACCCCTGTTTGTGGGCAAAAAGTTCTCATTACAACTCCTCTTCAGAAAGAAACAACCCCCAAAGATCAAAAGGAAAATGTAGGGTAAGTAGGTATTAAATAATTGTGTTAGAGAAAATGGGAGACATAATGTCAACTGTAGATAAGCTTTTTATTCAAATAAATGGCATATATTATAATCCCTACACGTAACAGAATTTAAAACTTTAAAAAGTCATAACCTTATGTTTTATAGGAATAAAACATGGGGTACTGAAAACTGGCTAAATGTAGCATAAAACAAAAACATTTAAAGCAAAAACATTTAAAGTACTTTTTTGTAACATTAGTCCTTTTTTCTATTTTAAGATGATTGATTAGAGTAAGAATTCTTTAGGTAACCTTACTTTAAAGTAGCTCTGTAATATTTAAATAAACATATGCATATGTAAGAAAAATGTAGCTTATGCCTTTGGCATGGTTTTGCCTTCTTTACCTTGTATGAATTTAAACTGTGACTATAATACAAATATCTAAATGATTGATTAGGTTTAGAACACCTACTATTCGAAGATCTATATTGGGTACCACACCAAGAACTCCTACCCCTTTTAAGAATGCGCTTGCTGCTCAGGAGAAAAAGTATGGACCTCTTAAAATTGTGGTATGTATACCGTTATTTTTAAGAATTTTCCTAACTTATAGTAAAACGAGAGCCGATTTTTAATCACTTTGATTTTTCATATTTAAAAAAAAGATTTTCGCTGGGCAGCTGTGGCTCATGTTTGTACTCCTAGCTACTTGGGAGGCTGAGATCAGGAGGATTGTGGTTCAAGACCAGGACAGGCAAAAAAAAAGTTATTAGCAAGATCCATTTCCAAAAGTAACCAGAGAAAAATGGACTGGAGGTGTGGCTCAAGTGTTAGAGTGCCTCCTTTGCAAGCCTGAAGCCCTGAGTTCAAACTCCAGTCTCATCAAAAAAAAAAAAAAAAGTTCACTGAAACTGATGCAAGATTTTATTTTATCTCTTAATTTATAAGTTTTAATTTGTGTTAATCCTTTTCCTTGACTTGTAAATAATGTTGTGCTTGGCTTATTTATAATTTTTACTTTTTGTCATCTAGAAAAAGGAAACAGTTTATCAGTGGAACCTTTTTCTTAATACTACCTACATTTTGGTAGTTTCACTAGTGGTTACTTGCAGTAGAATAAAATGATTTTACCACTTTGATATACACAAGTAATTCAATAATAGTATTTAGGAAACTTATAGATCAGGGTACCTCCTTGAGGCTCAGTTTCCTCTTTTGTGTACAGGGCATAAAGCATACCCTAGATTTTTATTGTGAAGCTGAAAGAGATGATAGAAAAAAAGGGGCTTGTTCTGAGTTTCAAAAATAGTATGTGCTTAGTTGTTACTATTGTTTTTCTCTTTGTAGTAGTAGCAGTAGTTCATGAATGAATAGAGCTGGGAAGTGTTCTAGTTATCTATGTGCTCATAAATACTGTCACCTTTGAAATACCTTAGAAAAGCCATGGACATTCCAGGCAGATCCAAATATTTAACAAGCTCACTAAAAGTAAAATATGATTTTTAAAGTATTGATCACTTTTAGGATAATTTATAGTCTATTTTTAGTCACTTTTTAGATGAATTCATTAATTAGTAATTATTCTGCCATAAAACTTATTAGCTAATTAATTTATATGTCTGTGTATCTATAGGAAGTTATATAATTTATATATCTATAATGAATTTATATGTCTATAGTAAGTAGGAGAACATTATGCCAATAATGGAAAGGTATAAAAATTAGGTATTCTATATATAGGGAGGAAAAAGAATTACTAGCAATAATCTTTTAAAACCTTTTTAAAAACAATTTAGTCCCCAGCCACTTGCCTTCCTGGAAGAAGATATTCGAGAAGTTTTAAAAGAAGAAACTGGAACAGACATATTCCTCAAAGAGGAAGATGAGCCCTGCTTACAAAAGCTGCAAACAAGAGGTAATCTTTTAGTATTATGTTATTAAAAGTCTTTATAATATCCAAGTGACTTGGCTATAATGCTTCTTTGTAAATTATTCATTCTAGCAGACTACTTCTGTGAAAAAAGTCAGAAAATCACTAGTTTTAGATAATTGGGAAAAAGAAGAACCTGGCACTCAACTACTGTCTGAAGACATTTCAGACATGCAGGTTTGTAAAGAATTAATATGCTTTTAAATGGTTGCTTTAAGTCATAGTGCGTCTCCTTTTTACTCATTATGTGACCAGTTCATTAGTGAGTCATAGAGTTCTCTTTATTGTCATTCTGCCTTATTGTAGAGAAACTATTAACTATCAAGAATATTTTATTCTTTGATTTTTTTACTTGTTTTATTTTGAGAGGAATTAGCCCTTTATGTATGATGTCAAAAAATGATAGTTCATAAAGCTTTAAATTTCAGTATTTATTTTGGTAAATTAAAAAAATACTTAATATTACTACATTATTAGAAAGTTCATCAGAGCCAAATACTTTCTAGGAGGAAAATGAAATCAGGGCTTCCATTACCACTTACTCAGTGGTCCATCTGTTTGTCTCTATTTTTGAATTAGTTTTTTTTTTCTCTTTCTTTTTTCTCTTAGTCAGAAAATATATTTACAACATCTTTGTTAATGATACCATTGTTGGAAATACATGACAATAAGTGCAACTTGACTCCTGAAAAACAAGATAGAAATTCAACCAACAAAACATATACACTTACTAAAAAGAAACCAAACCCTAACACTTCCAAAGTTGTCAAATTGGAAAAGAATCTTCAGGTATGGATTTATAAATTTCTTTAGTGATTTTTGGTGTTGCTTATTCAATGATCACTTTAGACTTACTGATTACAAATTATACTTTTTCTTTTAAACTGACTATCATAGTAACTAAACATCATTATTTTGTCACTCAGTAGATGTGGGTTTGAGAGACTCATCCATCAGGGCACACATCAACTATACAACTGCAGTTGTAGCCAAAGACTCTTTTGGTGATTCTTAAGCACAATTTCTTTTTAAACCTAAGATACCTAAATCCACATATAGCACCTCTTCTCCTATAATAAGTGTGCTCTATTTGCTATTTTGAAAGGGTAAGTGGTTGGAAGCATAATTTTGTTATTCTAATGGTTCTTAGTAAACTTTTTGGCTCGGAAGCTATAAAACAAAATTCTTTTTTTCCTCTTACTGTGTGTCGCTAGTATATATCTGCAAATTAAGGCTGGAGAAATTTTTACTGCATTATCTTAAGAGAATGTAAGAGTTAATTGAGGAGGAAGAGTCCTTCTTATGCTACAGTGGCTGCAGCATAGCATTCCTGATATTTAAAAACATCGTTGGCAATCAAATGTGACTCTCTCCCCTCTGTCATGAGCCATTGCTTTCAAAGAGCCATGTAGCACATTCTCTTCATCCATTTAAAATGCTTTAAGTTCCCAATCCTTAAGTAAAATAGAACTTCTCCAGAAGTTTTTTATATAGCAGATCATAGCTATAATGTAGCAATCTTTGTTCTTTAAAAGGGAAAGAAACAAATCAAATAAACTTCACTTTGTATGAATCTATTTCCTATGTATGTATTTCCTAATTTGTTAGACATAAAGCAATCTTGGTTCATTTTTTGACATTACATCCTCTCTTTAAATCTTTTTTTTTTTTTTCCTTTTTTTGGTGGTGCTGGGGATCAAGTCAAGGACCTCCCACATGCTATGCAAGTGCTCTACCAGTGAGCTACATCTCTATTCCCTCTCTAAAACTTTTGCGAAATAGACTAACATTTTTTTCCCTATTGACACTCATTTGATTTGGGAGGAGTTTGTGCAGACACTTTTATACTGCCTCCTTTGTCCTATGAATGGTAAAAGATAGTAAAAATAATTGACATTAAAGAAAATTGATGGGCTGGCGGAGTGGCTCAAAAGGTAAGAGCACCTGCCCAACAAGCATGAGGCTGTGAGTTCAAACCCCAATGCCTTCAAAAAAAGAAAATTGATCATAAATGTTCTAGTATGTATTTTAAAATTAGCATCTTTTTTTTTTCATTTTTCTTTTATTATTCATATGTGCATACAAGGCTTGGTTTATTTCTCCCCCCTGCCCCCACCCCCCTCCCTTACCACCCACTCCACCCCCTCCCGCTCCCCCCCTCAATACCCAGCAGAAACTATTTTGCCCTTATCTCTAATTTTGTTGTAGAGAGAGTATAAGCAATAATAGGAAGGAACAAGGGGTTTTGCTGGTTGAGATAAAGATAGCTATACAGGGAGTTGACTCACATTAATTTCCTGTGCGTGTGTGTTACCTTCTAGGTTAATTCTTTTTGATCTAACCTTTTCTCTAGTACCTGGTCCCCTTTTCCTATTGGCCTCAGTTGCTTTAAGGTATCTGCTTTAGTTTCTCTGCATTAAGGGCAACAAATGCTAGCTAGTTTTTTAGGTGTCTTACCTATCCTCACCCCTCCCTTGTGTGCTCTCGCTTTTATCATGTGCTCATAGTCCAATCCCCTTGTTGTGTTTGCCCTTGATCTAATGTCCACATATGAGGGAGAACATACGATTTTTGGTCTTTTGAAGCCAGGCTAACCTCACTCAGAATGATGTTCTCCAATTCCATCCATTTACCAGCGAATGATAACATTTCGTTCTTCTTCATGGCTGCATAAAATTCCATTGTGTATAGATACCACATTTTCTTAATCCATTCGTCAGTGGTGGGGCATCTTGGCTGTTTCCATAACTTGGCTATTGTGAATAGTGCCGCAATAAACATGGATGTGCAGGTGCCTCTGGAGTAACAGTCTTTTGGGTATATCCCCAAGAGTGGTATTGCTGGATCAAATGGTAGATCGATGTCCAGCTTTTTAAGTAGCCTCCAAATTTTTTTCCAGAGTGGTTGTACTAGTCTACATTCCCACCAACAGTGTAAGAGGGTTCCTTTTTCCCCGCATCCTCGCCAACACCTGTTGTTGGTGGTGTTGCTGATGATGGCTATTCTAACAGGGGTGAGGTGGAATCTTAGTGTGGTTTTAATTTGCATTTCCTTTATTGCTAGAGATGATGAGCATTTTTTCATGTGTTTTCTGGCCATTTGAATTTCTTCTTTTGAGAAAGTTCTGTTTAGTTCAGCTTTTGTTGAAGAGGCTGCTATTTCTCCATCGTATATTTTTTAGCTCCTTTGTCAAAGATAAGTTGAGTTATTTAGTTTCCAGCTGTTTGCATGTTTTTTGTCTTTACTTTTGTTGTTGAGTTCTACTTTTACTGCATTGTGGTCAGATAGTATGCATGGTATTATTTCTATTTTCTTATATTTGCTGAGGCTTGCTTTGTGCCCTAGGATATGATCTATTTTGGAGAAGGTTCCATGGGCTGCTGAGAAGAATGTATATTGTGTAGAGGTTGGATGAAATGTTCTGTAGACATCTACTAGGTCCACTTGATCTATTGCATATTTTAGATCTTGGATTTCTTTATTGAGTTTTTGTTTGGATGACCTATCTATTGATGATAATGGAGTGTTAAAGTCTCCCACAACCACTGTGTTGGCGTTTATATATGCTTTTAGGTCTTTCAGGGTATGTTTGATGAAATTGGGTGCGTTGACATTGGGTGCGTACAGATTGATGATTATTATTTCCTTTTGGTCTATTTCCCCTTTTATTAGTATGGAATGTCCTTCTTTATCTCGTTTGATCAATGTAGGTTCGAAGTCTACTTTGTCAGAGATAAGTATTGCTACTCCTGCTTGTTTTCGGGGGCCATTGGCTTGGTAAATCTTCTTCCAGCCTTTCATCCTAAGCATATGCTTATTTCTGTCGGTGAGATGAGTCTCCTGTAAGCAACAAATTGTTGGATCTTCTTTTTTAATCCATTTTGTCAAACGGTGTCTTTTGATGGGTGAATTAAGTCCATTAACATTAAGTGTTAGTACTGATAGGTATGTGGTGATTCCTGCCATAAAATTAGCATCTTATTTACAAATAAATGCCATTGTCAAAACATTTTTAGTAATTACTTATAAAATATCCAATGAAAATGATTTATTTTTATAGGGAAGATGAACTAAATTGGACTGTTATACATATATACATGGAAGTGTGCCACAGGGAAACTCCCTATGTAGCTATCTTAAACAAGCAAAAATGTAGCTATCTTAAACAAGCAAAAATCTCTTTTTTTCATATATGAAATTGGAGAACAGGAGGATGGAAGAGGTCCTGTGGGGGGGGGTTGGTACCTGTGGGAAGGGAGAGGAGGTGGGGAAATAGTGAAGGAGGGTGGATATGGTGCAAATACTGTGTACACATGTATGTAAATGGAAAAATGAGACCTGTTAAAACTGTTACAGGAATGGGGGAAAGGGGCACGAAGGAGAATGGTGGAGGGGGTGAATTCAAGTACGGTATATTGTAAGAACTTTTGTAAATCCCACAATGTACCCTGACCCAGCACAATAAAAAAATTATTTTTAAAAGTAGTTGTGAAGTAGAATGGATAGTTTATTTTAGTAATTTTCACATCACTGTTGATATTTCCTTTCTAGTCAAATTGTGAGTGGGAAACAGTGGTTTATGGAAAGACAGAAGATCAACTTATTATGACTGAACAAGCAAGAAAATATCTGAGTACTTACACAGCTACCAGCAGCACTTCAAGAGCTCTAATACTGTAATTGTTATTTAAACTGATGACTGTCCCACTCCTTTACTGTATTTTATACCAAACTAGGTTGCAGTGAAGTTTTTACCAATTAATTCTTTTTAAAGTTTTAATACAACCCTAAAGTGGTTTTATCTTTTTTCTATTTTGGGCAAGCTAAAGCTAATAAGCCACTACTTTGAATAAGAAGTGAGCAATTTCATTGTTCATTTTTTAAGAGATGTGATTTTGAAAAATTGTTTTTAAATAATAAAATGGGAAAATTTAAAATGTTCATGGATATTCCAAAAGTGAATACTCACACATTATCTTCACGATATATACTACTATTCTCTTGAGACTGTAGTTTTGTTACAGACAGGTAGATGAATACCTATGATTTCTGAAATTTGTTTATGTATGGAAAGAAAATGTGGTTTATGAAGTACTTTTGTGCTGATTTACTTAGGCTACCATTTATAAAGAAACACAGTGGAAAGGAGTCTGCAAGAAGATAGAAAGTACACTACTAATTTTTGGTACTTTTCAGAAACAGTAAAATTACAGTGTTAAGTGTATTTATTTGAACACAGTACTAAAAACAAAAAGCATTGAAAATGGTTTTTTTACTTATTAGTGAAGAGTCAGTATTTTTTCCATAAATCTCAGAAGAGCTGAGAGTTTTGTTGAATGTATTGTACAGTATGTAGGAGCACAAAAACCTTGTAAATTGGAAGTCTGTTTTTATAATTTATTTTCATTTTTAAAGCTTTTAAATGTAGATATTTATATGTATACAGGGTGTCTAGAAGCCAGTGTTGTTTCCTGTCATTACAGCTAACATAGTAAAGAACAATTTTGACCTTTAAGTATGAAACAGTTAAGTTATAGCTACAAAGAGTACAATATCTATACTGTATGTGTCACATCTACCTAAATATTGCACTATGCCCTTTAAATCATGTTGGTTATAAAGTAGTTCTAAAATGTACTAAGTAATAATTTAATATTTTCTTTTTAAATTATATGGAGGGTCATATAAATTAATCTGGTGATTTGTATATATGTTTGAAATATTTGCATTTTGTTTAAAAATAGTACCTTGGTCCCTTAAAACAGTCTGCACTTAAAAGTTTATTATATTTACTCAATGTTTCAGAAGTAGAGAACATTATCTTTTATTTATACAAATAATTTGTCCTTTTATGAATGTTTCGTGTTTTTCTACAGGTTACAACAGTTGCTTCAGTTGCCCAGTTTAGGTGTTTGCACTTATTTTACTTCTTCTTGAAAGAATGTCTTTATTTGCTTTTGTGGTAGAGATTTTATGTAATTTTTCTGAGACATATAATGATACTGTCAACTTAAACACTGACAGGCAGATAGAATCGTACACTGTAGTTGGAATTATTTATAATTGACACACTCTCTCCCTCTCCACTCCTAAAGTATGCTGCTATAGAAAATAGCAGAATTGGCTTGCTGCTATGAGAGATGGAAAGAGCGACCACCACTTGCACTGTGTGAAAAGATAAAAAGCAAATGATGGCAAGTTCTCAAGTTAACTTAATGGAATCAACCATTACCAGGCAAATTCTTACAAAGACCAAAATACTACTATGCCTTAAAAGAGAAACAAAAACAGCTTAAGATTTTCAGATCTGTTTTTATGTTAATAGAAATTGAAATACTAAGTATTTTAATGCTTAACTCTTGAACAGTAGACCTAAAAGGATTTTAACCTATTTGAATCCACTTGCTAGTTTTTGCATACTATATGTTAGTGAGAAGTAAAGAATATGTATGGTGATACTAAGATTATGCCTTATTGATAACAGATAAACCAATTTGAATCTTCTTAGCACGCTTGTTAAGTATGTTGATTGCCTTCTAATTAATGAACTTCTCACAGAAATTTCTGTTTGTAAAACCAATGATTGTGGCAAAAATCATACTGGATCATTTCAGTTAACCTTGAACTAATAGCACATAATGGCTTTTTGTTTTTTGGCTTTTAAAAAATGTAGCCCTTAGCTGGATTGGATGTAATAGTCTCCAGTTACCAAAGTATATCTTGGAAGAGCTATATTTTTTAAAGCATCATTTTTCTCTAGCATTAAATTATCCCAAATGGTAATATATTGTGAATAAGCTTGGGCTTATTGGATATAGTACATATTTGGGTGGGTTGGTATTGGTTGTATCCTCCAGTTAACTGCTTTGTTGCTTTTTGCAAGATTTTTAATCGTAAATATGTCAGACATCTTAAGTCACCCTTTTTTTACTGTTGTATTCAATTGAATTATTTCAATATGTTATAAAAATGCCAGACATACATGTAGCATCCATACTTGCATGGAAACTGTCTACACATATATCATCCTGCATTTTGTTGCAAGGTTTTCACACTAATACAGCAATTACCCTGACTAAATTTGAGTTTTTTGATATATGAGAAAACTTTCTATTGTAAGAGAATCTTACATACAATGTTGCATATATTAACATCCAAATAAAGCATCTCTGTACAAGCTGACTTGCCATTGCTTCGTTTCACTTTTTATGTTTTACAGACTTGAATGAACCCTGAAGGATTGAACCCAACATTTGTTCTTAGGCTTTTTTCTCTTAGAACTTTCTTCACAGGTGATTGTGTCTATTAGTACAATGTGGTCTCTTCACTGAGCCTCATTCAGAACCATATTTTCAATTGCCTTTTAGATACTTCTAATGTAACTCCTTTATTGACATAGAATGCAGTGTGTCCAAAGCAGATTTTCTCTTTTTTCCCAACTTGGACTCTCCATTCCTTTGTTCTGTCTCTCAACGGTATTGCCTTCCCTTCACTTACTAAATGATCTACTCTTCTCTCAACCACAACATTGAAATCTGTTATAAATTCGTAGCTTACAGAAGACCACCATTCTAATTCTGTTCTTTCATTTGGTTTTGTGCACTAATCTCTCTGAGTTTCCTTCAATAGAAATATCAAGAAAGTGCACAATGCCATTAAGGTGTCATCTGGGAAAGGCCATCTGGTCAGTTGGTCAGGTTTTGGTGGTATTGCATTATCTCAATGAATTCATCATCTTTATTTAGCCATCTAGGCTCAGAAATCTGTTGGAATTAACTCACTAAAAATGAGTATACCTCTCAGTAGAAGGTTTATATCAAGTTTGTAAGACTGATACATGAAACCAGAATAGTAATCTCTTAGTTGGTAGTGTGAAATAAAACTACTGAGAGGATTTGGTAAATTCTCACCTTATTTGTAAGCAGAAAGAAACAAATATAAGAGGCTGGGTGCTGGTGGCTTACACCTGAAATTCTAGCTATTCTGAGGGCAAGAGATCGGGAGGATCACAGTCCAAAGCCAGCCCGAGCAGCTAGTTCGCAAGACCCTATCTCAACAATACTCAAAACAGGTCTGGTGGAGTGACTCAAGTGCCAGGGCACCTGTCTAGTAGGCATGAGGCCTTGAGTTCAAACTGCTGTCATGTCTAAATAATAATTCTCCCTCGCTTCCTAACCTGGGTCTGGACAGCTTTTCCATGCTTTGTTTTCAACCATGCTGGTGAGTTGGATACCTCAAGAACATACATGTGCATGCTTCTATTTTCATATCCTCATTAGTAATATTCTGTTCTGTGTAACTCTTTTGTCTCTATAGACTATTAAAATCCCTGCCTTCAAGGCACAAATCCATGAATTTCTGGGTTATCCTAGTGCTTCCATAAAACTTTCCCACTGGATGACATTTCTAGAGTAATCTTGCTAAATATTAAATTGAAAGGATTTCTAAAAATTTGTCACAACTCTTATCAGGCAATATTTAACCATACTTATTTTGTACCACAGATTATAAATAGCCTTGATTTCTTAGCTGTCTTCATGAAATCAGTTTTGCTTTATAGCTAAGAAACTGTATTACTTCCTTAAAATCTTTTAGCTCATTTTCATAGCCATGAAGTTTCCTGCTTGATTTATCTAGTCATAGATTGATAGGACTGCCAGCCAATCAGAGTTTTAATTTCTAATGCAAAACAAGTGATAGTATCTGAAAAGGTACTTCATATTCTAAGAAGTGAAGACTTGTTATATATGAATAGAGGGTGAATTGAACCAAGTGAAATTCCAGTGGAATATTGCATTTTCTGAGTCTTTTAAAAATGAGTGTAGGTATAGTCAACAGGAATATGTAAAAACCAGATAACCAAGAGAAAGTGCACTTGGAAAAAATTATTTGTGGTGATGTGCTAGGAAGAGAGCATTTTTGAAAACTTTTTAGAATCTTGGCACAAGTACCTTAAAAGCTGTTGAATTTGAGACAAACTTGGTATTAACTTAGTAGTGTAAGTATTGCCCTTATTTCTGCACTTCTCAGATCCAGTGTGCTTATTCAAGTTCCAAGTACAGAATGTGCTCAGTTTGATTGGATTTTCCTGGCTAGCAAGGGATAGGGGGAGGAGGATTCACTTTATTCTATTTTAACTACAGTTAAAAACATAGCTCGAAGGTTTGAGCAGATTCTGACATGTTTCCTAAGTCCTAATATGATCAGCTTAACTGAGTCCTTACTATGCCCTGTGCTAGGTTCTAGTGATCGTGTGGTAAACAATACATCCCCCTTCCCTAAATTTAAGGAAGCTGGTATTCTAGGAGAGACGAATGTGTATAACAGAAGTATTTCTTCTCCTTTGGCTTAAAAAAGTGAGATGGAACAAATAGCAAAGTCCCCTACTGCATGCGCAGATGCTCACTTGTGAGTAGAGGAATGGTCTCTGCCCAGACAGCAAGGATCACCTTCCCTCCAGTATGCAGGGTTTGGCGGGATTTGGTGGCTCACTGAGGGTCCTGCACAGACTAAAAGTTTGAGTACAGTGTAGCAACTGCAGCCATATGCTAGTCACTATGCTAAACGCTTTGTATACATAGTCTCGTTGAATCCTCACATTCCCATGAGTAAACATGGGTAACCCAGTTTTATGGATGTGGAAACAGGCTTAGGTTAAGAGACTTGTCCAAACTCACATAGTAAGATGCTGAAGCTATGGTTCAATCATCTGAGATTTAGACTGATTCTTGAAAATTAAGCATAGGGCACAAAAATATATGATTCCATTTATATAAAAGCACAAAAACAGGTGAAGTTAATGTATGCTGGTAAGTCAGGATAGTGGTCGCCCCATGTGGGAGGGTTGTTGGAAGGAGTACAATAGGGTGTTGGGTGCTGGTTTCATGGAAATTTTGCGCTTTGTAAAAACACAAACTGTACTGTTGACAATTTGTGTACCTTTCTGAGTGTACATTATGTATCAATAGTAAGTTTTAAAAATGAAGATTACCAGAGGAATATAAAAATGCTCAGACAGAGCAAAATATAGTAAATTGTTCCTTATACTTCTAACAATTCACAGATCACAGAACTTACTGCCATTATATCAGACGCTGGGCTCCTTTCTCCTGGTAAACTAAATTTATGCTAAACTTCTCCGTAACAATGATTATTTCCTGGGATGGTTATATTTCATATTTTATTTATAAATACTCCACTGCATGTACCCTCGACTTCAGCCAAACTAAATAGTTTCCTTATAAAACCTCTACAATTAGTTCATCTCTTAATCTCTGCCGTCTTGCCCCTCCATCTTGAAGTTCATGCTTTCACTCCCATCCTCCCTGAAACATCCATATTTGCCAAATTGCTTGTCACCAAATATTTATCTACCTGCTGTCGTCCAATGTAATTGTACTTTTGTCAATTACATTTCATAATAACACCCTGTGCTATTGCCTTGTTTATTTAGGGCTGACATTCTCCAAATCAACATTCACTTAATTCTGTCATACAGTCAACCAACATTCTTCAAGGCTAGCCAACTTATTGCACATTTTTCCCAGTTACCTAAGCTCAGATTAGAGGGACTCTACATCTTTAAAATTTAATGATGTATTTTATTTAGCCAAACATATCCAAAATATAATTTTAGTGTGATTAATATGCAACATTACCAATAGCGTATTTTACACTTTTTTTCTAAGTCTTTGAAATCCAATGTGCATTTTGCATTTTTAGCAAATTCAGAACAGCCCCATTTCAAGGGCTCAATAGTCACCGGTGACAACTGGCCACTGTATATTGGGCAACGCAGTCCTAAATTGCTAGGAATTCCCAGAGAAAATCTTTTGTAATTCAGAAGAAACACTACCTATTTCAGCCAAAACAGGTTAATTAGTAAGCTATAGTCACTATCATCCCTCCCTCCCTTTCTCCCTCCCTCCCTCCTTCCCTCTCTTCCTCCCTCCCTCTCTCCTTCTTTCCTTCCCTCCCTGAGTTTTGGAGCTTGAGTTTAATCCCAATTGTCAATTGTCCAAGTCACTTCGCTTTCTTCATTAGCACTATATTTTCCACCACTTTACTGCCTCTTTGAGTGGGTTGTAAACTCACTGGAGGCAGGCACTTTGTCTTGTTCACTACTGTATGTCCAGCATTTAACACGCCACCTAGAAATATGCCAAGCACCAGGATGCAACGCTGAGCAAGACCAAGACGCCTGCTGGCATGCTTAAATTCTAGGAGAGTAGATAGACATAGATCTAAGTGCTATGAAGAAAAGAACACTGTTCTATAGGGGGAAATAAAGGAAGCTGGTGTTTTTCTTGGAAGAATGTTATATTTGAAGTGATTGATCTTGCAGATTGATAGGCAAGAGGTAAATAGGTAACGAGGGCTGGAGAACACCAGGAAAAGGCCCCAGAAAACGAGCCAATTCCATGTTCAAGGGGTCTTAAGTAGTGAGATTGGTGGAGGAAGGCATCGCGCGAGGAGGCTCCTGGGGCAGAGAGGCCAGACCAGGTAGGCCAGGCATTCCCGAGGAAGGAGACGGAGACTACCATGCAGGAGTGCACTGTGGAGTGGAGAGGGCCTCACCAACTCTAAGGGGAACTCTGTAGCTCGATGGCCCTTCTAGTTGTTTGACACTGGGGCGAGAAGTTCAGGTCCTTATAGTCTCGAGTTCATCAATACAAGTAGGCTGTCCAGGAAGAAGGCCTGCGGAGGACACTGGACAGAAGAGGCAATTTCTTAAAACTTCCATGTGCTCTGTCCAAAAAAAACCAAAAACAAAACAGAATCATCTGCTGAGAGGAAAAGGAGCCACTATTGCTGTGGAGGCGTGGCCAGTAACCTCAGAACAATGAAAAATAGTCCTTGAGGAAAATGAGGAGGGGATTTGATTAGAGAAACACATGGAACTAACTGCCAAGCAGCACTAAGAGCGCATTTTAAGTTGACAAGCAGAAATTCATTATTTGTGAGGTCCATAGTGATGTTTCTGTGCTAATTCAGTCCTACTCCCCCCTCAGCTGAGCCAGAGCAGAAACCCAGCATGAATGCATGGTGACCCACATCTGCCCGCGCATGCCTTCCTCCAACAGGGCCAGGTTGATCTGGTGCAGCAGAAGAGGAAGCAGCCACTTGCCATATAAAAATGTACCTGACAAAGGTTGGAGAGACAAGGGAGTGCAGAATATTGT